CAGGCTGGTTGAACCAGCCTGAATTGCTACTTATTATCGCGTTCCATGGATAAAAAAAAAGCCCTCAGCCGTCTAGTTGTTAGAGGGTGCCACTCCACCGGCAATTCATATTGCAGCTCCTATTTGTCTCTTTACCCCTAAAAGGCGGGCTGCCTGGGATTCTTGCTCAGCAAACCTAGGCAACTTTTCGTCAGGAATCAAAATGTTCTTCCAAAAACTTCTGCTAAGAGACAAGCCTTCAAGGCTTGAGAGGACTGAGGAGAGAAAAATAGAGACAGGAAATTTCTTAGCCTAAAACTTACCAGAGTGGGTAAAGTCAACTTCAAATGTAGGTTCAGAAGCAGAACCAGAAGCCAGGTACACCATGATTGAGAGGCAAATGAAGTTTTTCGAGACTCCGAAGGTAAAAATGAATATTCTATCGTGGTTTCGGGTTGAGTCACGGGTAATTCATGAATTCACACGACTGGTAAACAGTGCCCTCTTGAATAGCGCACGGAGTGAAAGACCAAAATACGCGATAAATATGTACTTAACCAGACACCAAACTTGACTTTGTCATGGAAAAATAACTAGACTTTGTAGTAATTGTAGTAGTGGAATAAGCGAAACACTGAGGAAGCGATGAAATGAAGCAGTCTGCCTCTGCACTGGTCCGCACTCCGCACCGCACAAAGAAAGCGGAGCGAAGAATGCAAAGGCAAACTAACGCGATGGTGCGAATGAGAATACAACAATGCAGCAGCTGCGACGCGGTCGGATGCAGTTGCAGTTACAATGCATGCGATCGAGACTTCTAGAACTCTCATCAATTCTTCCGATCTCCTGGAATTCTTTGCTTTGTTTGTGTTTCGAGCAGATGCACAAATGCGCGCGCCGGTTGCATCTGGCGCCAGCTGGCCGCCAGGCGATTGACGATTGGTCAAATACTCAAATAGGGGTTGGTTACAAGTTGTTGCCACTTGTTGCAGTCGTGGTCGAACTCGATGGCTGGAGTCAAATCAGGCTCCTAACTTTCACATGAAGAAAAAAAACAGTGGTCAGAGAACAAATAATCGTTCACTTACCTACTTTCAATAAAAAAGTCTCCAGCAGAATCCATAACTTTCCATTTCACAATGCACAATATTGTAATGACAAAACATAAAACCACAACTAATTTGGCAGTTGGCACTTACTTTGACTCCAATTTTCTGACGCGCATGCGCTACGTCACAGTTACTGTGAGCGAGCTCTTGAGCGGCAATTTTGAGTTTCCTCTCTTGGAGTAGTGATTGCGGCATAATTTCTTCTATTTTTTTTATCACTCCAAATAAGAGTTTAAGACCCAAGACAGTATAACCTGACAGATTTTTTCTTACATAAATATTTCAACCGATAACGGTAGAAATAATACTTATCATAAGAATGAGCTGGTGAAAACCTCCGTTCGACCTTGGAAAAATCTTGTAATGATTTTTGTTTCAGTATTATCATGCCGCCTAAAACGTATTTATGAACCTCATACATTGACCGATTATTTCACAGGGGAGGGCTGCATTTCATATTGAAATCTCGCCCTAGATTAGAACGCGAATGGATGGATAGGTACTACATTGAAACAGTGATCATTCCCTATGTAGTGCAAAAATTGCCTGCGTTCTGGATTCGCAGAATACTCCTAGGCTATTCATAATGAATGTTTCAATAATATTTTATTCATATTTCTAGGAGTATTCTGCAATATTTTTTTGGAATATCCTTTTTTTGAACATTCCTAGAATGTTCAAGTTTTAACATTCAAAGAATATTCTGTTTTCTCATGTGTAGAATATTCTGTGAAAATTCAGTTTAATATATTCTAAGAATATTTTCTGTAAATAGTCTGCGAACGTTTTCCGAATATTCAAAAATGTACATTCTGCACAGATTATTCAGAGAATGTTTTGGGAATATTCTACTTTAGAATATTCCGCGAATATTTAACATTCTGGGTCTGTTTGTAGGGACACAACGCTAAGGTGCTATGAAAGATATTTATTAGATTTAGAGTGGAAGCTTTTCAATCCTTGCTCAGCTCTAATCTAATAAGTATCTCTTATGACACTTTGGAGTTGTGTATTCACATTACAAATTCCTACTATTATTATTCATGTTACGGGGATATTCATCACCATGTATAAATATAAATTTACTTTGCTGAGGTTTATGATGTCAATGGTACATATAAAACCACCAAATCAATGTAATCTCAGTTTTTCTTAGTTCAAATTTCCTATCGCAACTCACTTTTTTAAGGAATAATTTGCTTATTGTTATTGGAAAAAAATGTGTGTGCTTTTTTTGGCCCTTTCAAGAGTATTATCTAAAAATTATGCACAAAAATGGAAATATTAATGTAAAAAATATAGAGAGAACAGACATTTTTGAAGCAATCAAGATCTGCGGCTTAATGGTTTCACGGTCAATATGTTAGGATAAATATGACAGAGAATCAACAGCCCTTCCCTCTCCTGAAGTCATTCCTTTTCTGATAAGTTTCAGTTTGCAACGTGAAGCCTAGCTTTAGCGATTCGAAATTGAATAAAAATAAATAATTCAGCGACAAGGATGAGAAAAATAAAAAAAAAACTCAATTAATGCGAGGCAATTCTTCATTAAGAACACCGGTTAAACAAAAGAGTATCACATGGGTAAATTTCATAAAATATTACAAAAAAAGGGGGGAGCTTTTCCAAACAATATAAAATTCCACACAACAAGCAAAACCTAATGCACACACTCGCATACTGGATGCTTGCCTGGATGAGCTGAAGTACTCCAATTGTCCAAAATTAAAAAAGGAATGCAGAGATTTTTTCAATAATTTGACAGCAATATCATTTTTATGAAACAATCATCTCACATAAAACTTTTTGGTGACTGTAAAATTATCGTGATAACACAAATTTTAATAATAGAAACCAGTGAGAAAAAAAACCCACAAAAGATATACCATGACCAAAAAAAAAAAAAAAAATAGAGGAATATTAAACTTTTAAACAAGCATCACGAATTAAAATATACTCCAACATTTCAGTAGCATTGCAAGTTGTAGCGTCAAACATTGCAGATTCCGCCAAAAAGAGTACAGTGATTTCATTAAATGAAAACTTTAATGACTGAGTCTAAAGTAATTCATAGCGAATAAATCCAAAGTGTGTCGGATGATTTCTCTGCATGCAATCCTGACACAAACAGCACTTATCTTTTCTAATGTTAGAAGTATACAGGGTGAGCGAAAAGTCCCCGACCCCCCCTCTAACTTTTGAACGAATTGAGCTAAGGAAATGAAACTTTGGGAATAATCCTATCTCAAAGGGGACCATCTTTTGAGGGGGTCAAAATTTTGGTCCCCCCCTCAGGGGGGGACAGGGGCCCCCCAACTTTTTTTTTTCAAATAGCAACCCCTATCTTGTGATACCTCACGAAATGATACCCTTCGAAAGAACATAAAAAATTAAGAATTTTGGCGCAAACCGCAGATCAATATCTCAATTTTTGACCGAGTTATGATAGATCAAAGGTCAAATTTGACCTATTTTCAAAAAATCATAACTCCGGTTCAAATTATCGTAAAGACAAAAATAAAACGGGAAAATTTACCAAATTGTGTTCGCTTTTACGTAAAAATTGCAGAAATCACTTCGCTTTAATTTTAAGGGGGGGCTCGGACCCCCAAATACGTCAATTCAAAGGTCATTCAATTTCCCTGCGAAATAAGCCAATTTCCTCTGGATTTGCCTCCACATTATCTCAGTAAGGTCAAAATCAGTTCAACATTATGTTGGCAAGTCCCCAAATTTCGGGAAAAAAAAAACGAAATTTAAGGTGATTAAATTTGACCGCTTAAATTTCGTTTTTTTAACTTTTCCCGAAATTTGGGGACTTGCCAACGTAATGTTGAACTGATTTTGACCTTACTGAGATAATGTGGAGGCAAATCCAGAGGAAATTGGCTTATTTCGCAGGGAAATTGAATGACCTTTGAATTGACGTATTTGGGGGTCCGAGCCTCCCCTTAAAATTAAATCGAAATGATTTCTGCAATTTTTACGTAAAAGCGAACACAATTTGGTAAATTTTCCCGTTTTATTTTTGTCTTTACGATAATTTGAACCGGAGTTATGATTTTTTGAAAATAGGTCAAATTTGACCTTTGACCTATCATAACTCGGTCAAAAATTGAGATATTGATCTGCGGTTTGCGCCAAAATTCTTAATTTTTGATGTTCTTTCGAATGAGGTATCACAAGATAGGGGTTGCTATTTGAAAAAAAAAAGTTGGGGGGCCCCTGTCCCCCCCTGAGGGGGGGACCAAAATTTTGACCCCCTCAAAAGATGGTCCCCTTTGAGATAGGATTATTCCCAAAGTTTCATTTCCTTAGCTCAATTCGTTCAAAAGTTAGAGGGGGGGTCGGGGACTTTTCGCTCTCCCTGTATTGTCCCTTAAATATTTTTGTCAAAAAATAATGCCAAAAATATGAAATACAGGTGAAAATGTTCCTGCATACACTGATTTAGTGGCTATATTATTCTTATGAATGATCCGAACCAAGACACAAGAACATTACCTCCTGTCTAAATTCTGTGTAAGTCAATTGTTTTAATTAATTCAAATGTTGTTATTGACAATTCATAAATCAATTAATGACAAAATAACCTTGAGAAATTTTGATTACAAGAAACAGACAGATTTTATCACCACGGCACGAAGATGACATAGTTATGGGTCCGTTTACAATGGAACCATCAGAACTGTGATGATACAACCACTAAATCAGTATATTTCTCTTCCAATGAGTTCCTCGTTTTCCCAAGTTCAATATAATAATACTGTTTCTAATTTACTTTCTACATATTTTAAATTTGAAAATGGTGTAAAATAACAAATACATGTATAGGTCTCGTGAAATTCTGGTTAGAGACTCATCAGAAAGAATGCATGGCACAAATTTTCAATGAGAAACAAGTGAAAATTCTTGTTTGAATCAACAAAACTTTTTTCAAATTTTTTGCAGGCACAATTCACAAAGTTTTTCACAAGTTTACGAGACAAAAGTTACAGTTTTAAGTGAGGAGTGACCATTCTAAACTTTGGCAGATACAAATGCAGATTAAAAACCAAATTCAATACTAACTGACCAATCCCTAGTAACATTGGCTGTTGAAAAAATAAATAAATAAAATAAAAATAACTTGCACATTTCAAAAAGAAAATTCCTAAAAAAGTTGTTAAAATATGCGAGTTAGAAAACCCTCTTTGTTCTTTGTTACATAAAAATGCCACTTTACATTTATTTAAGTTCTTTTCATTACTTCATTGCAATTTTAACAAAACCTTTACATAAAGTTTCAATTTTTCATGATGCATATTTTGCAGCTGTTTGGCGTCTAGCACCAGATGTTTTATAGAATTTAAAAATGTTCATGGCAATTTTCATTCATTACGTTCGTTGAGGTACATTTTCCTGAAAAAAGGCAAAAGGGGTTTCTCAACGTTTCCATTTTAAAAAAATGTTTACCCTTTTTTAGAGTACAAATTTAACAGTCAATGCTACTGAGGATTATTTACAATTCATTATTTCATAAATGAGGAAACTTTGTAAAGACACCCATAAACACACACTTTGAAGTGATTTTATTTAAGTTTGCTGATCAAAGTGTGAAGTAAAAATAATAATAAGAATAATTTGATCAGCTAGTAGAGTTTGCCAGTTTCATATTAATAAAAAAAGAGGGGGAAAAAAAACAGAAACCATACAGTCTTTGCATACTTATAGAATAAAATTTTCTAATAAATCTTTGGGAGTTTTATTTGAATTATTTAAAATTAACTATATACTCCCAAAGAAATTCTGAAAAGAGGAGAAATAGCTTTCTCCGAAAGTACAAACCAGACTGTTCATTGCTGAGAAAGCTCCTTTTCTTTTTGGGTAACGTTTTTCCTGACACAAATAAAAAACGAAAAAAAGAAAAAAAAGTGAGAAGAATTCTAGGTACATTTGCACAACGATTATCGTCCAAAATCAAAATTGGCAGCAGAGGGGTGGAGCAAAATCACTGGTTCTGTTCAATATATGGGGGTTGAAATCACAAGTATAACCGCTCATTCAAGAGAATTGAGTATGAAGTTTTGACAGGGAAAAATACAAGTGCCAATGAGTCATTTCACAACCGATCAAGACAATCACTCTGCTCCATCCCTCTGCCACTCCTATTTGGGGAGCAAAACTGCTCATCATCATCACTGCTCTCTGGATATTCCCCCCTTTCTTCTTTAACAGGTACAGATAACAATGTTCACAAGTAGATTTGTTCAACAAAGAAACTTAGCAACTGAATTGAAAAAATCTCTTGGTGTAAACAATTGGCTTAAAACGTAAAAACAATAACTTTTTCCAGGCAAAAAGAAAAAATTAGATCGCAGATAAAAAAAGAGGAAAAAACATTTCATACAAACATTTATAAACTATGTATAAGTATGTACAAATGTATACATTTACCTAACGTTTACGAGGTGATGTCAGAAATTTGAGGTCCTCGATCAAACATCAAATCACAAGATGCAAGGAAGGAGTCAAAAGAGAGGTAAACCTGTACTTCCATTCTAGATCATTGTTGCCAGATAGTACTTGTTCTACATGACGATTGTTAAGAGTATGACACAACGTGTAAGTAGGGTTTGTTATAGAAATGCTTAAGACAAGAATAATATTGTCATTACATGCAAGATGTTTTCGAAAGATGTCTTTCCTTTCACTTGATTTCATTAATTTATAATCAAACACAGAGTAAAAAGACGAAAATATATCAATTGCAAGAAGTCCCTAAGAGGCACTGTAGCATGTTGGTGGTAAATAGAAAAACGCATACCTCAATTGCAACGTTTAAGAATCTCTGAATAGGTTTTTTGTCTTTCTTCTTCTGCACTACAAATAGAAATGCTTTCTTACAATTTTGTGTGATTTTTTTGAGGTTGAGTGAAAATTCACAGAAAAATTCAATAGAAACTATTTTTAAAATTTCCTTTAAAAAAACATAAGCAGGGCCTTACAACATCTCAATCTAAGAAATGAACTTCCTAGCTTTAGCCATCGACATTTGAATCACTATTCCACATCAATAGAATGATTGCAAATTCGTACAGTATCATTAAATATGTTCCAATTGAAATTTTAAAAATGCCTCTGTTTTTAATGATGGCCAGAATGTATTTGTAGTTTTTCACGATCCACATTAATTTAAATTAGAGAGCAGAGTTAAAATGGCAGCCATTTCCATTAGTGTGAGGGTTGAAGTTCAATTTTGCTTTCGGGTCTATTCACGGCCTGAATCTACTTCTTCCCTGAATTTAGTGCTGGCCGAATAAAGTCTCAAACCATTGAATGACAAAAAAATTTAAGCAGACCTCCGAATGTACAGCAGCAAATGACACAAGTACAATGCTATAGCAACTAAAAACACCAGAGGTAGAGCTAAAACATGAAACATCCTGGTAACCCTAACTAACCCATTCTTTTGCAATGAACTGAGGATTAAATTCTCGATACATCGGCTCACGCATACAACCAACAGTCATCACAGGCAATCCACATAAAAAAAAAAAAAAACACCGAGTCGCTCACGTTACTCCGCCTTTCAGTCCCCACTTTAAAAGGCCTAGACTGCAGTGTTGACATCCTTCTACAAGGCATTAAATGTAATATATTAATTTTGTTACCTCAATCATAAAATCTTCTGGACTAAAATTGTGGGATAAAATTTTGTAATTCATCGAGAGGATGATTTAAAAACTCTCTTTAGCTGAGAGCTAATTATACTTCTAACAACTGGCAGGGCTTGATCCTAAACAGACCCTCACTCTCAAATCATTCTGTTGGACTAATGGACAGATTTGCATGAGTGAGTTTGTAGTAATACATGACTGTGTCTATTTTGTTTAAATTCTTTTGGTTGGATAAACCACAATGATAGCCTTGAGAATTACAACCATAAGACTGGCTATACTGAAAAAATATTCCATGTTCCAAAACCAATGATTCAATTTTGAGAGTTGGCGTATTATGGTCTATTTTCGGCTACAAATTGGTAAGTTTGAAAAAAGACAATAAGTGAATTTCCATCAGTGGATTCAGTTCACTTAACACCCAGATTTCACAGAACTGCCGACCAACAAAGAAAATCACTCCCAAAAAGTTAAGAATTAAACTCTGCTGTTTGATGACTTGCAGTCAACATTTGCATCCATACATCTGATGGCCCACCTCAGGTGGTGACGTACTGTCGCCTAGGAGGAATTTTGTTTTGTTGTAATGGAAGTTGGCAATGAGTCAAAAACTTAAACCTTATCCTCTAGCAGAAATTCTACTGAAGAGATGAAAAGAAGTGCCAAATTGTTCAAAAAAATATCAAGAACCAGCCACATTTATAAAACCACTTACAGTGTAAGACAAGACAAATTGCTACAGAGGCAAAACAAAATTTTTAAAAAATAAGAAAACGTTACAATAAATTTAGAGAAGTTAACTACAAGAACAAGGGGAATTAAACTCGAAAACAATGCTTGGAAATAAAAGCGTTTGCTCCTCATTTTTTATTTTCCCTCAACTATAACTAGATAAATATTTTCTTTGAAAAAATTTTTTAAACAATTTACGCAACTAGGAAAAAAGGAACTTCGATAAAAAAAAATAAATTAAAAAAAATAATAAATAAAAAAAACGCACATGACATAGGCCTTCTGTACATTTCATTGCACATAGGACTACAACCAATGAAAGACTCATAGGCCTGAATTGAAAAAAAAAAGTCATAAAAAGACTGAAGATGCATGGAGATAACTAGCACGGATTCCCTGATTTTACTCAGACAAAAACTGCAGTGCAGGTTGTACACAGAAAAATGTTTAACGCCTATCACAAGCTTAAATTTTTTTCGCTGATGACAAAATTGGAGTTGAAGTATCTGCAGATGCTTACAGTACACCTGAAATTCCCAACCCCGTCCTTTTCTATACTACTGTGCATTCAGTGCCTCCTAAAGAAGTGGATGAGTTAACCTAAAAAGATGGTATCATATGGAAATTAAAATGATTTTCTCACAAATCAAAACTACTGATCGGAAAAATTTGGATTTATGAAAAAAACATGGGAGGTCTGATTATATTCTGGGTAATCTCAAGCTGGCTGAAACTCTCATACTTTTACGGAATATACATTCCTTGAAATTATTTTGATGTTATCTTACTAATCAGCACTATGTTTTATTTGTAGCTATCAGCGTCATCACAATCACAGTAGGATATTGACTGTGGGTATCTTCCCTAATGGCCCAACTTCACCTTTACGGGTCCAATCGCAAATTTTACCCCAAGTTTCCACATAAGAGCAAGGGCATTGATGCATCATCTTTGTAAGCATGGGAAAATGATAATACTCAAGTCATCAGTACTGTGCCGCTTTGAAGATACCCCACCACTAATTGGTAGCATCAGTAAAACAGAACATAAACTTCACATTATGATTATGATGACATTGATGATACTGATGGACAAAATATTTTTGAAGCAGCAGTGGTATAAACCTTTGAAAAGCAATTAAAAATGAGAAAGATCCTAGCCATTTAACTGAAAGAGCAAGGACTCAACAACAAACCTTCTTTTAAAACCTTGACAATGGCAAAAGCCATTCAAAAGGTACGTCAAAAATATAAAATGGTACATACAAAGGAAACCTCACTTTCTGACAACCTCTTAAGTTGATGTTTAACACAGAGACACAGCAACAGTCTCACTGATCTAAGATCAAACGACAAAAGCCGAAGGGTTGCGCTGCGACACTGATAACAGTTTACAGTTGCAGAACTTTGGACATGTAGCGCTTTATCTGAATTCGTAAATCTGTGTGTTGTGTTCAGGAACATGACTTAAAGTTAGTGACTGATACCTAGAAAAAGCAAAATATTGCAAAGATTAATACATGGTTTTTTTCCCATTTTTCTAATTTAATTTTTAACTTGTTTAACTATCTCGATTTTTTTTTATTGTTCCTTCCAGCTCAAGGAATGGAATATTGAACTTCAATTGGACATTTCTCTGTCAAACGGAACTAAGCGCCATCGGGGGAGGAAGGTAGAGGGGGGCTTAAATTGGCGACGGAACCGGGCGTCGGGCTCATCATTCCTATACTCGCAATGCTTTTCCATGGCGCTTAGTTTCGTTTGACAGAATGCGCTATCCGGGATTCTAAATTCCTCAAAAGGAACTCAAATTGGCACTTAGTTCCGTTTGGCAGAAATCCGTCCAATTGTACTACATACTTTTAAAATATAGCTTCATTCATTAAATCAAGAACCATTAGACAAATTTTAAAGACAATTGTGTGGAGGAGATGACAGAATGTTTTGATGCTCATGGTACTTGTCTTTTCTTTTTCTTTGAAGCTACGAGGGCAGCAAGAGGAGTGTTGAGCATAATTGAGGAGCTTAGAGAAAAATCTACAGAGGGCACAGAAATGTCACATGGAAATTTGTGAAATGAGGGGCCTTGGAGAACAAGGCAAATAAGTGAAGCATAAGTGAGAGCAGTTTTTGTTATTTCAAGAAATATGTGTTTAAAATTTCAAAATTACATTGAGCTTTATGGCAGAGGGGAAGATTAAAGTCACTTGTTGATGCTTTAAAGTTGGATTTTAGATGTGAATTTTTCACAGAATATGCTTTCAGACAAGTTTTGGTTGAGTTCATGAATATCTTAATGTTTTCAAAAACTGCACCTATGCCCTTGTCCTTCAAGCCCCTCCATTCTTTTCCAATTCAATTTCCATCAAAACATATAGGCATACTGTGAGAAGCATTTCAAAAAGTACGCAAGTAGGATTAATGACATCTTAATTCACTCACTATAAAGCTATGTATTCATTTGGTGAATGCATTGATGAACCTCATTCATTAAGTGAAACTCGAAAAGTAAGCACATACATTTAAGCTGCAATGGACCACTAGACAAGGTATGAATTTAAGCAATCTGATACATGTTTTTTAAACAGAATTTCACGTAGAACACAATTCGCGCAACAAAAATTACTGAAACTTACTCCTGACGAAGATATTATTGTTTTTATTTCACATTCGTTACAAGGAATTTGAACTGCCCGCTCACGAGAAACTCAAAGTTCTACGTGAGTCGAATCACGCACTACAACAGTTTCAGCAAGCTTCTCGATCAAGCAATGTTCATTTCCCACCATGTGTTGTTCAAACTAAAAGCAATTTGCTATAGCTGAGCCAAAGCGTCAAGATCGAGATTGCCAGATTTTTATACCGCAGGGACTATCATGATAACGTCTAGCGCGCGATGTGAATCCCCTAGAGCATTGAGTTTTCATGAGCGGGTGGTTTGAATTCACACATCAAGAATCATTAAATATTTTCGTAAGGAGTTCATGTCGGTAATTTCCATTGTGCACATCGTGTTTTACATGAAATTTTGATTAAAAACATGTATCAGGATGCTGAAATTTGTACCTTGTCTAGTGGTCCATTAAGATTTGCAGTGCAACATTCCTCTTAATAAAGAACACAATATGAAGTGTCACATGCTACATCAGAGTATAATATAATTTCTTTCATGGTGGAATTTTCCAATATTGAAGTACATCAATCAACTAGGAGTAATACATACGATATTGATTTTTAGACGACAAAACAGAAGAAGAAAAAACCAAGATTAACCTCTTTTCTTTGAAATTCAAGTGTCCAGTTAATCAACAGATTTCAATGATATGTTGGATATTTAGAAGAAGACTCACCATTCAGAACTTCGATGATAGTAGTAACCTTCGATAGTTGCTGCTGATTTTTGGAAACATATATAATAAAATCCTGCAAAAGATGCTCCATTTATATCCTTGATTGTGTGATCAGGAACCAGGAAATGTTCTTTCCACCTCATGAAAACGTAATCCGTGGACTTTAGGGGCTCATAATCAAAACAGTCGGAGTTGAAATTTTTTGCATACCGGAAAAAAGACTGAAATTTGCTCTGTGAATAAAAAAACCAAAATTGTAGAAAATTAAGAGATCTTAGCGAAAGGGCAAATAGTAATATCAGATAAGGTATTTCTAAGGTTATTCAGATGTTGTGATAGAATGTCTTGATCCCATTAGGAGAGGAAAAGAAATAGTGGTCAATTCAAACAGAGGAAAAAACAGCTCTTAGACATCTTTAGCTAGAATGAATAATGAAACGTTAAGTTTTGTTACAGCTGAGCTCATAAAACATTATTTCCAGCAGACAAAAGAGGAATAAAAACAAAAATACAAAGAGAGAAAAAAATAAAAAAAATGGTAGTGGTAGGATACGTTCATTTTTAAGAGGTGACTTCACAACTTAGGCCTTTTAGACCTCAGACAGAATTTAACAGTAGGTTACATGTGTTTGCAAGTTAGAAAACTTTGAGACAAAAGGAAGTAAAAATTACATGGGTTTATGTAGGTAAAAGGAGTTTCTTCTATACCAAAAAGAAAAAAACAAACCAAGAAAAAAATAGCAAATGATAGCATGAGATAAGATAGCAGCGGTAGATTCTTTTCACTGACTGAGAGCTTTGATATATTTTTCTCTCTCACCACTAAAATCAAGCTCAAATTAGGCAAAGTTCAATGCAACAAAGAAATCAGTTGCTGCTGAATAAATATTGATTTTTTCACACGTGGATCCAGGAGTAGACTATTAATATGATTGATGTTTAAGGCTCAATTCACTTCTGCGGTTAATAAATATTTGTTTAAAAAAGATCAGGCTGTTAATAATTTGCAGCAAACAGGTTTCTGGAGTGCCGACACCATCCAACTTATAACATGGTTTCAGAGAATATTTTGAAAAGAAGAAAGGAGGGCAAAAGGGGGTACTGATACTAGTTTTGAGATTTCTACATCTGTTATGAAACTTGTTATGAAAGTTGTTATGAAGTGTTATGAAAGTGCCCAATCTTGCAATTCTAGGATCCTGCAAGCATGAGGGAAATTCTGGGTCTTGGCAACTTTTTTCCCCCTTCAATATTTCAGAAAAAAGATGCAATTTGATCATTTGACAATGAACATACAGATATAAAGTTGTGAGGCAAAGTTGAAATATAGCTTTGAGACACAAATGCTGGATTGTGGCAAACAGTTGGCTTTTTAGAACTTTCATAAATGAATAATAAGAAAAAATTAAATTTTTTGAGAAGATAAATTACAACAATTTTAACATTGAGTAAGGCCCCACACTGTATCACAACTTTATCTCAAGATAAAATGAGATGAACACTTGATTGAATAGAAAACTTCACTATTAGCTCAAAATGTGTACAGCAAGATGCATCCGTTAAAGTATAGGGTAGCCATGCTCAATACTATTTGAGTGATTGGGAGGCTGCTAGGCAAATGGTTGCCAAAAAGGTTGTAGAAATGTTACAAAACCATGCCAGAATGTTACCTTTAGCGATGTTACCTTAAGTAACATTTGGCAACTATTTTGGACCGTTTTAGCACCTTTCGCCAGGCAGAAGGAAATTGAGCTGGAGACATGTTTACGACTGAATTTTACTTTCTTCTCTTGGCTTTTAACTAAACCCTTTCGTTACCCTGAGCTCAGCATCTGCATTCAGCAAAACTATATGGTTCCTGTGAAAGTAGGGCGCATCAAGGCGCATTTACATGGCCTACCAAGCTGCTTGACAAGCCTCATAAGATCAGTGCAATTGGCACTAGCTGCGTGCAGCAATTTGGGGGAAAAATTACACGTTAGGGATGGAGTTTGCCAATGGCTTGGCACATTGTCTGAACACGCTTTCAATAACCTCCTCTGAAAAGCACTTACATTTTCAGCAGTAAGGAGGATATAAACTACAACTTGAGACACTTTCTGACAAAGTGCACTCAGATTTGTTGGCATTAAGTACAACCAATTTATTTGGTGGGGCATGCGCAAGCAGAATCTAGTCTGGTAATCAAAGGGTTAAACAACTGTCATCTTGTTAATGTTGGGAAAAATAAGAGAAATAAAACACACAAGATTTTCTAAAAAAAATCAGAGTAGATAATTGAGTCATTAAGTTTACTTGAATCAGCTCTGATAATCGCACTAATAACAGTAACTTTTCATTGACTTGTTTTTGCATAACTGAGACTCAGGTAGCTAAAGCAGAGACTCTCTAATATTTTGTACTTGACAGTATTTAATTAAATAATCTGAGCGTCAAACACTTTGTTCGACCAAGCAGTGAATTACTAATAAAGAAAATTTCTTACCCAATGTTTCCTGTCCACATCTTCATCTGCATCCCACTTCCTTGTTAGAAAGGGGTACTTTTTGCTGATAATTTCTCCATCGAAAAATGTGGTTAGTGTGGGATACTCTTCCGTTAAACCTTTTATTTTTAAATAGCCGCATAAGTAGGAATTTTCTTCATCAACGTGCTATAAATATAGAAAGCAAAACAGTTCTGATAAATAGAAATTATAAAAATTGTTCTGAATATCTTGATGAATTTTTTTTTAAAAAAAGGAAATATATTAAAAAAAAAAAATTAGAAAAAATGATTTCATGAGCCCCTAGTAGGTATTTGTTTTAAAATTATGGAAGACAAGGAGCTAATTTAAAAAATGCTCCTTACTTGTTGTATACGATAATTAAACTCATGACAGACGTAAATTCCAATAGGTACCTATTCGCTCACTTCCGACTTGCTGAAGACGCACACTAAGTGACAAAAAGGGAGCATCTTAAAGAATGCGTTTGAGGCCAATACTTAACCTGGTTAGAATTTTGAATAAGTTGAAATACTGTACGTACTGAGGTAGGCAAAATATTATGGTGGATAATGTTTCAGGGCATGAAGTGCTCGTTGAGGTAACCTGTTTGGTAAGTAAGAGCCACTTCGGAACAGAGTTCCCCATTTCCAAACAGTTGTCATCGTTCAATTCTGTTCAAATAACTTGATGACCTGTGAATTTAACTCAACCATCTCTGAAGGTCAACTCCAAAAGTTGCATTCACTGAACAGGTGAACTAAGCCGCATCAGGCAAGTTTTCTTCGACGATGCACCCGTGTCTGTTCTTTGAGTCTCAATAAGTGGATGAAGCATTCACAAAGTGAGGACGATGCCAACCAGGGAAAGAATAGACCTCCAGAGAGGAGGAGGTGGATGAGATACACTTCTAGCCGAATAATGTGTCAATATTTATGCCCTGGAACAAGTCGGCCCAACAGCTTCGAAACGCTATTGTGGAATACCATCCACAACTATTTTCTGTGACAAAGTTGGGGTGTACAAGCCTTGATTTCAGTCTAGCATGGAAGGGCGAGTGGAAAAAATGACGGAACGTTCGACTGAAAGGAAAAAGCGCCTTAAAAACAAGGATTTCAGGAACGTAAAAGTAGGTTAAAAACTAACCTGTAAAACAACTTCAACTTCGTAACTATTTCCTTTGGATTTTTGATGCCCTTGAAATCTTGAACCATTATAAAGTAAAGAACCAGTGATTCCAGGCTGTTTCGAATTTGCAGGTGGAGGAGGGATTTCTTCAACTTTTACCGGCATTCTACGGTTAAAGAAATTTATCAAAACAAACGTCACGGAGAAATTCACTGGTACGAAATTTAGCACAACAACTAATGCTGTCTGATGATGGCGTTGTTCGTTTCTAGATGCAGGATGCAGCAGATAAGTTCATAAACTGTTGGAGCTTTCACACTAAATTTTACTAGAAAGACACTAGTTGCTGAGATAATTGTTTTTTTGCTTTTTACAGTGCAATTTTCTAAGAAATAAAAAAAATAGGGTATCAGTTCAAAAATAAATAAATTCAGCTGAAATATGCCCCCTGAAAATGCCAATACAGAGTAAATTGAAGCGGAAATTTTGCCTCAGCGCTAATGGTGAAAATGTTCAAAGTTGGTACCGCTGTAACGACAAAGAGCAGACGAGCGCCTTTCAAAAATGCGGAAGCGTCGCGACTCGCGCGCCGCCGCTACGGAGTGGAAGGAACAACACAACTTCCGCGGTTATCGAAAAGATTTATTTATATCTCCGTGATGATACAACAAAAAATTCTTCAAAAAAGGACGAATATATAGGCAAAGATATGCGAATTCTCTATTCGTCACGAGTTATTTTACTCTGGTTTCTTCCTCTTCCTCCACCGTTCATGTGAACAATACTTATTTGCTTGCATTTCTCTCATTAACACCTCCATTCCAAACTATTCTTACAATTGGTTTTCCCCTCTTGTGGGGGAAATTATTACTTATTTGATGCTTGCAGCATTTATCTATGCATGCAACGAAAATATACAAAAATATGCGGCTACTGGGTAGATATTTGAGCTTGCAGGAATCAAAAATTTGTGGAGCACTTACTTATACTTGTGGCAAAGAGGATGTAAGTAGGTACTTACCTACTTAGATCAAAGTGTTCATTTAGGTTCAGGTGGGAAAGAAATTCCCAAAATTTGTTGGCTTTAACTAAAGAGAGAAAATCAAATAACACATCATCGATAAGGCGCAATCACAGATTCAAAGAATACTCTTTGAAAATCAGTATGTACTGGCAGAGCTGAAATATCCTCAAAAAAATAATATCTGATCACTTACCTACTCTGAGATTAATCGGTATGACATTTGGGACATTTTACTTCCTCTTGTACTTCAATTAGATTTCTTAAATTCTGTACAAACTATAATAACTTCAATGGAAAACAAAAGTCAATTCACAAAATATTTTTTTCTCCAACCACTAGTTGTCATTGAATGTTGTCTGAGTGTTAAAATTTTTTCCAATGTTGTCTGTATATTCACAGCTCCTTCTGTGCTACCAGGGAAGTCTTGAATTTTCTTGAAGTTTGCGGGTTTCTGCTCATAGAATTTTGATTTGCCTGATCAGGAGAAAATCCATTGAGCGTATTTTCGAACAAGAGACAAACAAAAATCTTGGCACAAAAAACGACCATTACCTAATGTCAAACCAAACACGAGCACTTGCAAAAACTTGAAATTTAACTTCTAGTTTTGTAAATCGTAAATATATATGGCAACTGAGATACTTTTTACTGACCAAACAAAACCGTGGTGTGATACAAGTGAAATGCCAGGAGCCAGAGCCAGGACCTGACAAGCCCTCAGATTAAAATGGACCACTAAACCATGTCTAAACTAAAATTGTCGCAAATTTTCTCTTAAATTCCTACGAGCCATACAAAAGAAAATTCAGAAATTAACACCTGAACAAGATATTAAAATGCTTTTTTTAACACAGAGCAAATGGAAGTTTGATTACACAAATGACATCATTTGTATTTTAGCCATTTAATCGATATTTGTAAAAACATTTTGGTTTTTTGTACAGAAGTTAATTTTCAGTCTTTTCATTGTGTATTTCAATTTTGTTCGTGAAATTTTGAAGAGAAAATATTTTGAGAAAACAAAATTGAGTTTTCGGTGACTTTGTAAAATGGAGCTGATAGACAATCAGATGACTTTAGCAGAATCAGCTTAACTTGTCCTCTCTTGACAGCACACTAAGCAACATTCTGACTTGAAGTATGTAAAATCTTCATAATCTACGGAAAATTCACGGAAAACTTTGAGTCCTTACGCTGTTTGGTTTCCTGTTACAAAATAAAACCTGAGAGGAAACCTTGCAACATGAAATGCTGTTAGGCTGATTAGCTTACGTACCTGAATTGGAGGAGTAGGGATTAATCGTTTCATGGAGGCTTCAGGGCCACAACAGGCAGGAAACATCCAGAAAAGAGTTGATGCCAACCTTCCCATTCAAGGGGAAGTAGAGTGGCCAGGCTGGAAACGATCAGAGGTGAAACTGATTTCTTTCAAAAATCAACATAGAACATGATCTAAGAAGGCTTTACTGGTCAGTGGTCATGACTAATCGAAAGTATCAAACAACGTAAGAAGTCGCATTCAATTGATCCTTCTTGATTCATATTAATCACAGGTCATAACAACATGTGATTTGAAATCATATAAAGACTGCCCTTTGGGTTCTTAATTTTATTCCCAGAGGTATCGGTGAAAACCTGATGGATTTTGGGATTTTATATCCGTCCATACTCTTCAAATTGAGGTCCTCTGATTCTAATTAACAATCTAATCGATTACCATAAAGGGATAATTAAAAGTGCGTTGCTGACGAAAACTAATGTAAATCACTTTATTTCTATCCAAACCATTTTTGCACGCCACCAATTGCGACTTGCCTAATCGCAAGGTCAAGAAGTTTTTGTATCCCTAATTGAATTGTTCATTGAAAATGAAGTCCGAAAATTGGTTCCTTTGATTCAGCCCAATTAAGTAAAAATGGGGAGCAGAAGGATAACTAAATTATCGCTTCAAAAATTTGCCTTTAATGTAAGAGTAAAGATATCAATTTAGAGACTACAAGCACATTAATACTATTTCCTAATAACCTATATTTCTGTTTCCGGGTGATACTACTTGGAAACTTAAGCCTATCATGGGGAAAAGACATTAGTCTTGACACCTCAGTAGGAGTGAAAAACCTTAAATTCAAAGATGATAACAATCTTACACTCAAATCTTTACAAGAACAATTTCTGCATTCTTCTAGGATTTTTTCAACATAATTGAGTGAGGTGTTGGTAAATATTGAGCCGGTACCTTCAAAATATTGGGAATATGCTTTTGTGAAGCAGTTGGAGCTAGTGCTATCTTTGGTTACAATGTCTATTACAAAAACACGCCTGGTCAAAGTTTCTAAGGGCACCAAATGACTGTTATAAATTTCAGATGATTCATCCAAGTTTTCAATGATGTCACCTATCTTTCTGTCGGCCAAGCTTTGATTTTCTTCCATATCAATGATATCAAAGGCTTTCGGAAGGCTGGTCATCTATAAAACAGACAATACAATAAAAAAATTAATATTTTTGATCATTCAGACTTTCGTTTGAAGTGAGAGGAAAACAACGCAAAGACAAGTTCAATCAGGAATTTAAGCATTTCGACGGTGTAAGTCGGCAATCACATAACTCAGTTTGCGCCGTCGCAGACTTCCTGTCATACTTTATTTTTAAACGGAAAACTACTCAACAGCAATTCTTTAAAACTGCCATGATTTCTTTCTCTATGCGAAGAAAATTTTACATAAACTTCAAGGAATGATGTCGATTTGTTCTCCTTTAAAAAATAACATAGAGGCGGAGATTTTCAGACACCGCAGATGAGTTTTGTGATTGCCAACTTACACCGTCGATTTCATTTTCCCCGTAAAAGAAAATTGATAAATTTCAATGATTCTGATCACAAAATTGCCCTTGGGGGAAATTAAATTTGATTAATAAAATTAAAATTGAAAACGGTCAGATAAAATGTGGTTCAGCTACTCTACCGTAGTCTCAATATCTTCTCATAGAAGAAAATTCTGCATGAGCTTCAAGAAATGATGTCAATTTGTTCTCCTTTAAAAAAATAATTGCCACCAAATATTTTCATTTACTTAACTATGTATTGTTTTTGCCTGTCATGTCAGAACAGAAGAAACAGAGTTGAATTTATTGTAAGCTGACACAAAATTTTAACTTCTAGCCAGATTGAAGCAAGCACACCCAAGTTCGCGACCAAATTTCAGTTTAGGGCTCTAGAAAAAAAGAGCATAGACTTATTAAAGTAAATATTATATGAGTGCTAAACTACAAAGACATACCACACTTTCAGAGGTTTGAAAAAAGAATTCCGATTTCTTAGCCAGCAAATAGTATCGGTGCCTTGTGTTCAATACTCCAAACTGATGTGGAGACAGAATGAATTCTTGTAAATTATATTCCAGTTTTCTAAGGCAAGTTATCAGCATATTTCGAGCTTCTGATGTTTCAAAACCTTTAACGTTCTCAACAAGAAGGTATTGCACAGTTGTGAGTTGTGGTAGAAGAGAGATAATGTGTTGGAGGGGATCCGTTCGGAGATCATCTAAGTCCTTCTTCAACCCATTCCTGGAAGTTAAGAAAACAAGAAAAAAATGACAAATCTTTGCTACAAAAAAAGAATATTCACTGATCTTCACAAAGGGTTTTAGTAAAGGTATACAATGTCTGACTGGCGACTTTAACTAGCACCTGCACCTGCGAGTGGCAATTTGCAACCAAAAAGTTGGAAATCTTCGCAATCAGATGGTAAAAAAATTGCGATTTTTTGTGAAAAAATGTATACTATAGGTAACTTATGTGATATCTAAATTATGATACTCGCTTGAAAAAAGCAGCTGGCTAGGCTACAAACCTAACATGGATCTATATCAAATTTATCGCATTTACTTACACATTTAATTGCCCTGTTTGTCTCCTACATTTGAAGTACAAGAGTCTTTTAAGTCATGCTATTTACTTGGGCAATGTATACATATCTGTTTAGCAATACTACTTTAAGATGTATCAAATCTTTCACTTAATGATACATTTTCATAGGAAAAGCTTTCTTAAAAATTTTGAGACAGTTTTAAGTCTGCATGAGCAGGATTGGCAAAGCAAAAGAGCAATTTCGGAGTAAAAACGGCACTTATTGATTCAGTATCTCAGAATATCTTCGAACGATTCCTCCTGTTTACACCTTATGACCAGCAAGTACTTAACTTTCTCAAATATTTTTATAATTTAATGATATGTGACTGTCCATGGAAAAAGGAGCTGAGTCAATAAAAACTGAAGTATCTAGGTATCAGTTGAATGATTTTTGTCCAATTGGGTCTAGGAATCGGACTCTGAGATTTTGATGGAAATTTATACCTAGTGTCTGAAAGTTAATTTATTGTGAGAGGTTTGTTTCATTTTAGTACTTGAAGAGAGCATAAAATTGCATTAAAATGCAGATATTAACGTTCTGGTATAAATAACTGGAATTTGAGTTTTTTCGGACTAAGGCCCCTTATCTTTTCTTTGATGGTCACACATCTCAAAAAAAAAAATTAAATAACATTACTACGAAATTTTCTAGCAATAAAATAAATTTTCAAGGCCCTTTTGAAGCACTGACTTGGATTTGTCCCTCCTACGAGCAACTCTTCAATCTGAGTCCTTGAGACAAGTAGGTAACAACTAAGCGAGAACTCTAATCCTTAAGAAGTTGTGTATGTATATCATGCGTCATTGTACACCAAAAAAAAAAAAAAATTAAACTTGATTTACTAAAAGCCAACATAGATAATGATTTTTCTCTGCAATAATCCAGAAACAAACCTCGTAAATGGTTGACAAGGCGGACTCATTAGGATTATATCTGGAGCTATTTTATTGATGTTATCACTGGTCAAGGATTGAATATTCTTTTGCAGTAGTTTTGTGTCTGGAAAATTGAGATGATAAACTTCATTTGCGACGGTGTTAATTTCCACTGCTGCGACTACCGTAAGGTCTCTTGAAGTTTCTGTGAAAGACATAGAAAAAAGATGTGCTTAATTTGGCATTAATCTTATGGCATACATGAGGAAATCTTGAAAATCAATTATCATTTCACAAATGCAATCTTAATAAAAATATAAGTTATTAGGTATAAAAAGAAAAGAAAAGAGGGAGGAGAGAGGGAGGAGTAAAAGAAGCACACCAACAAATGTGAGGAAATATTTTAAGGACAAGACTAGTAAGTACTTGACTGTAGTTTTTTTCCTCTATGGGGGATTGGAGTAGAGTTGATCCATCAACAAACTAACAGGTGACAATTTGCATATAATGACCCAAAATCTAGTTTGAAGTACCTATAAGAGGAGAACTCCGTCAAGTTTTGATACTCAATTGTTCCATGAATTAAGGCTAAAATGTTTAAAATTCAATCTAAGTGGGTTTTTTCACAAAATTTTCCAGGAAGGACTGCCCAAATTTTTAACTTCTTGTAGTGTTATCCTTCCTAAAACACTTAACTCAACATTGCCAAATGCCCGTCCCCTTCAAAATCTCTCTGGATCCCCCAAGTATTGTCACGGTAGGTACACAGCATATGTGCAATAGTACCAGCAGATTTAAAAAAAGTTAAACAGAAATAATTCTCAAAACGCACTTGAATAAGAAAATACTGAGCTGTAGGTATATATTTTAAAGCAAATGGCTCTGAGGTTCCGTTATTTATTCCCATAGAGCTTCATGAAATCTTATAACGTTGATGTCTGTACCACACTCATCAGTGTAGGTGACACGTTCTGGACACAACAATGTCCAATTTATGGGAAAATGATCAAACCATTGTATGCGAGATAAGCTACATACTAAATCTAATGTTGCTGTTATGCCTATGCAGTTTAAGGGTTTGCACATAATTTGGAACAGCACAAACTACTTGGGTACCCCATATCCAACAGCAAGATGCTGCACTCTTGTCTGTTATCTTAGGTCCGAGTACGGTGTAAGTCGGCAATCACATAACTCAGTTTGCGACATCGCAGACTTCCTGCCATACTTTATTTCTTAAACGGAAGACTATTCAACAGCAATTCTTAAAAACTGCCTTGATTTTTCTTCTTTGTGCAAAGAAAATTCTGCAAAAACTTCAAGGAATGATGTCAATTTATTCTCCTTTAAAAAATATCATAGAGGCAGAGATTTTCAGACACCACAAATGAGATATATGATTGCAGACTTTTGCCATCAACTTAAAACTTGATGCATAGACAGGCGAGAATGCCACAACTTATCAGAAACATGTAAGAAGTAAACTAGTTGTGGGAAATCACTGTGCAGTACTGACCTTTGCATGCAAAATGCATGCCACCAATTCCGCTAAAGAGCTCGAGAACTTTCATGTTGAGCAATAAATATCTATTTGCTGGTAAACATCAGGCAAAAATGGTGGGAATAGAGATGTATAAACAATGAAATCGTCTTTTAGTTTGCGCTAAAGTAAAATTTATACCTGGAGGACACTCTCAGAAACAAAAAGTGGAGTAAGACAGAAGTGAGGTTAGCTTTGGGTTGTTTATATTATGATCTCAGGGGCCAGTGTGGCCAAACTACTTTCAAAATTTCTACTTTTAGTGTAAGTGTTTTTGACTTTTTTGACGAATAAATAAAAAAAATGAGCTTGAGCTAAAGTCGAATGGAAAACTTAAACATATTTGTAGCACTATTTTTCTGTCGTTATTACTTTTTTTGAATTATTTAATTTATATTTTATTTATTGATTGACCCTTTTGTGCTCAAAGACTTTTTTTACACGCCAAGTCCGATTGATTTTGATAGATTCTGAAGTAGTTCTAAAGTACATATTATTTATGTTTGTACATATTATTCATTTTGTTATTCACTCGGATTTTTCGTGTCTTTGTTTTAGAAGGCAAGAAATACTTTTCTAAAAAAATTTTATCATTCAGGCCGTGTCTCCAAGGCTCGTTTCACGAGATTTACTCCAAGGAAAAATCCCTCTTACGAAGTCGGGAAAAATATTGAGACAATCAATATTTTATCCAGTACCAGTACCAAAGTATGGTCCCTTGTACCCCTAAGACCAACTGAGAGAGAAAGCAGAAGAGGGGGTGAATCGTGCGACATTTTGTTATTCACTCGGATTTTTCGTGTGTGTTAAATTAAAATAATTTGTCTAATTGTTGATCGTGTTCAATAATTATCTTAATTCCGATTAAATACTCAATTTTTACTGATTTACCTTCCCGCGCCAACAGGTCGCAGGAACGTGAGTGACCCGCTCCGTAGAGATGGTAACTGGAAAAAATCCGAGAAGTTGTAAGCCCACGATTCGAATTTGAGACAAATCCCATGAAAACGTCTCGTGGAGACAAGTCCAAGGTAACACGGCCGGATTTAGGGGATGGCCACGTGGGCCGCGGACAATGGCGGCAAATTTAAGGGGTGGCAAATTTTGCAATTTTTTTTAAATATAGGTACCTATAAAAAAAATCGGATTCAGAAAAAAAAAACTACAAACGAGAAAAGGTGACAAAATCTCTCATTTCCTGAGAGTATAGTAATTTCTAATTTTGTCGTCTTTCGGTGATAAAAGAGATAGCACCTTTAATTAGTCGAGTTAAGAGACAAACCAAATACGCAATTTGGCCAGGAACGGCGCGGCGCAGAGAGCAATGATGACGAGGACTTGAGATGAAAAGGAGAAGCCCTCGGCGTGGCGGTCGGCATGTAAGTGTAACACATATTAGCGCCTACAAGACTGCATGAATACTTCACGCATTGCGTCAAACAGTGCGGTCAGCAGCGCAGCGGTTGGCGTGAAACGCAAAGTGCCTACAAGATTAAAATTATTATGTAAATCACATTTATATTCAATTTTTTTTTGTTCATTTCTTTACATGGAAGGCCTTGTCCACACAGACATGGGTATACGGTACTTAACTTTTGCGCAGAGTTCTGTGAACTTTTGCTCATAGTGTTTACAGGGCTTTCGCAAATAATGTGTCCAACAAGAATGAACGCGTCTTGCCCCCCCCCCCCTTCGGCACGTTCACTTGATGGTTTTTATTGATGTTTCAAAACAAATGAGAAGGGGGCGGCAAAATACAGGCGGCTCATGGGCGGCAAGTTGGTAAATCAGGCCCTGCTAGATAAGGTAACATTCTGGTGCTTCCTCACCCTTCCACCTTATCCGTCATAATGTAACTCATCACCTAGAAGAGATAGTCGGATCAATTTGACCTGGATTGGGAATTCTAGGAGTAAACTCAAAAAAAAAAAAAAAAAAAAAAAAAAAAAAAAAAAAAAAAAAAAGCCCTGGCGCGATACAACTTACGCCAAAAAATCAACTTAAAGACGTCGTGCGTCCTTCCCTTAAGGGCGCTTGAGAGACGTATAGACATATTTTTACTTTTTCTTTTTTTATTGGTTTGGACACGCCTTAGTATATTTTGAGCAAAAACCTGCATTTTTCTTAAGTTCCAAAATATGAGACACCCGAGCGCGCATTGATGGCGGCGCGGCGCAGAGAAACGACTATCGTGCTTGATGGATGTCCGTGTTGCATCTGCAAAATTGAAGGCGCGATGGTGCGAGGCGAGGCGTGAATTAGCAATGCTCCGCTGAACACTGCCATCGAGGTGTGGCTCAGTCTGATTCGGAAGCAACAATTAAGAAACAAGGCCCGCATACGTCTCTCTAATCTTCGGCTTCATTGATGCGTGATTTTTTTCTTCTTTTTTGTCAATTTGACGTCTGGGATTTTTTTTAAAAATGTATCTGTAGACCTTTATCTAAAGTTTGTATGTACCGGTCCCATAAAACTAGCGGAGCTCGTTGACGGTGAAAGTCCGCTACCACGTACGTACGTATCTCGGTTTGCCACGTGGCAGACTTCTACTGTCATGCTTTCATTTTTTAATTGGAAAACTACTCGATGGCAATTCCTAAAAACTGCTGTGATTTTTCTACCGTGAACAGAGAAAATCCAGCAAAAACTTCAAGGAATGATGTGGCTTTGTTCTCCTTTAGACAAATGAAATAAGAGCGGAGATTTTCGAACACCGCAACCGAGACAAACACTGTCTACACCGGAGTTAAAATAGTTGCTAGGTCGTGATATGGAGTAAAACAGATCTTGTGCAGTACTTGGCTCATATGATAATGTCTGGATGTATGGTTTGCCTTCAATTGCGAGGATAGGCAATATGTCTACATCGGGGTTAAAATAGTTGCTCGGCCGTGATATGGCGTAAAACAGATCTTGTGCAGTGCTTGATTCAAATGATAATGTTTGGATGTATGATTTGCCTTCAATTACAAGGATAGGCAATATGTCTACATCGGAGTTAAAATAGTTACTCGGCCGCGAGATGAAGCACAACAGATCTTGTGCAGTGCTTGATTCAAATGATAATGTCTGGATGCACGGTTTGCCTTCAATTAGGAGGATAGGCAACATGTTCTAAAAAATGGAATCAAACTGTGCAGTCTAAAAAAAAAATCAATGGAATTGAATAGAGTTTAGCGAAAGGGCCTGTTGCAAACTTTTGCTAGAGCAAAAATCAGAGTTCTTCGTTATGGATAATGTCTCAAAAATCACGATGAGCGTATCGGCAAACTCTGCAATGCACTCCTCACTTCACAATCTGCGTTAAACATGTGCGTTTTTTTAAGCTTTCCGCTTCAAAAAGGATACTACGGCCTGGGTGAATATTTCGTTAGAGGAGTCGTTCCATTCAATCCCTGCTCAACATGGCCGACGCTTACGCGCGCAAGTTGAGGAGAGCACGAGATCAATCAAGGCGGAAATCGACCAACAACGCGAGACAAATGTGAATGTAAGCACGCCGATTGTTATCAAGTGGTTAGAATCATCGTCCCGTCACATGTGTTTTGGCGTATTGGCGTCGGCTATGCTGAATATTGCGTAGTATCATTGTGAGCAGGGGTTGAACGGAATGACTCCTCCAACGAAATGTTCACCCGTGCCGCGGTATAGTTTTTGAATCGGGAAGCTCGAAAAAACGCAAATTTCTCATGCAAATTTTGAAGTAAAGAGTACATTTCAGACTTTGCCGATGCGCTTATCGTGATTTTTGAGACATTTAATATGAGTAACAACTCTTATTTTTGCTCTAGCAAAAGTTTGCAACAGGCCCGCTATACTGAGCGTTTCGCTGAAAGACCTATAAGCATGACTGATACAGAAGATGAAACTGCAAAAACGCGTATGTCACGGTTTGCGACGCTGCAGATAGCCTTTCATGAATATCTTTTTTAATTAAAGAATACTCAACATCCTCTCTTGAAAACTGCCTTGGTTTTCTCGCTCTGAGTGATAAATGGACTACATTTTGCAATTTGGAACTATAAATTCTAGCCCGGTTTAAAAACAACGGATGTGCCATTAGTTTCCCCATGCACATAAGCGTTTTTTTAGAAGAGCCAGAATTTATAGTTCCAAATTGCAAAATGTAGTCCAAATATGCTGTGAAAAATTCAACATTAGTCTCGGTTCGTTCTCCTTTGATAAAATAAAATGGGAGCGGAGATTTTGAAACATCGCAAACGAGATACTCGTTTTCGCAGTTTCTTCTATAGACAAGGACGCATCGTAAAAGAGACTCAAATCCATATGTTTATGCTTTCCATCTTCCAGCTTCATCATAATCTTTTCCTGACATCAGCTGCATGAAAAACATGCGGAGACGTTCAGCGATATCGCGTGATTTCAGCCCTTTGGCCGCAGACAATGCCGTGTTTTGGGTGAAGGATGTTGCTGAGCATGAAGGAGCAGCTCATCTCAAAACCTCCACTCACGGTTCGTTTCAGAGGGAGGTAAATAAAATAGTGTTGCCCACTCAAAATTCCTTCGGGATCTTGAAGTAGGATGCATACACAGTCATTTAAGCCTAAAATGAAAATATTCTGTCGAGCTCTTCGAAAATAAAATCGATTTTTGTGTTTTTGGCGCTAAAATAGCCTTCAAAAACGATCAATGATTCAATTCCGATGGGTTGTGCATGTGCAAAATGGTACATGTATGATGAAATCTACGTATTTTTGGACCAGGAATCGATTGAGCAGGGTCCCGAATCGGTTCGAAGCTTCATTGACCGAAAAATGGGCCTTTTTTTGGATTCTAGGGATATTTTGGGCCCATTTTTTCTCAATTTGGGCGTGAGAAAACCTGTGCCGTCATGGGTATGGATTATTAAGTACTTTCGGGCGAGAAATCGAATGCGCTTGGTCCCGAGTCACTCCGGGGCTTCCTAATCCAAGAATACGCTGTAGGCCCAGGTGGAGCTCCGGAAGAGCTTTGAAAATATTTTTTGTCTTTTATGTTCAAACTGGATGCTGAAATTGGCCTTTCTTTGACTTTAAAATGAGACTCCTGAATAAGTAACAAGAAACTTTTCTACAATTTGATGACCTTTGGCCTCCTTCAGCCAGTCCACTGTGTAAGCTCCTGCATGAAAGCACGATGCATATCTCAGATCTGATCATGCGCTGTGAAGAATGATATCAGTGCGCACGCATGCTGATCTGCACTGATTGACGGGTTCACACACATACACATCAATTTCTATTTTTCAAAGACCTTCTGACGAGAAATCGTATGCGCTTTATGAAGAGACGGTATAAATTTGGACTCGAAAAATGAACTCCTCTTGTGCATTTATAATATTTATATGCAGAATAACTATTTTCCCTCCTTTTTCGGTCAAACAAATAATCTTAACCCAACCAAGCCGATAAAAATTTTTCGGCCTAAGAAGCCCCGGAGTGACTCGGGACCAAGCGCATTCGATTTCTCGCCCGAAATTACTTAATAATCAATACCCATGACGGCACAGGTTTTCTCACGCCAAAATTGGGAAAAAATGGGCCCAAAATATCCCTAAAATCCCTAAAAAGGCCCATTTTTCGGTCAGTGAAGCTTTGAACCGATTCAGGACCCTGTTCAATCGATTCCTAGTCCAAAAATACGTAGATTTCATCATACATGTACCATTTTGCATATGCACAACCCATCGGAATGGAGAATTTGCACGCAATTTTTTTATTGCTTCATCTGAAAGTGCCTAATGAGCTGAGTTCGCAACATTTTTCATAATTTTTTTCTGACATGGGAAATTGGAGAAAAATTGATTTAAAAGTGAGAAAATGTGCCGCCTTGTGACGTCATCTGGCGGCATTTCCCATTTAAACACATGTATTTTAGCAGAATCGGTTATTTTGTCATATCTCCTCTAATAATTGCTCAATTTATGAATCAAGGGTATCTTCGTGGTCAGTTCACTCAGAGGATTCCACTTAAACAGGAAATTCATCAAATTTCAGACCCTTGCAAATTCTCGATCGTTTTTGAAGGCCATTTTAGCGCCAAAAACACAAAAATCGATTTTATTTTCGAAGAGCTCGACAGAATATTTTCATTTTAGGCTTAAATGACTGTGTATGCATCCTACTTCAAGATCCCGAAGGAATTTTGAGTGGGCAACACTATTTTATTTACCTCCCTCTGAAACGAACCGTGCACTGCTGCCACGACTTTCTTTGAATATTTGAACGTACATATATCTATACTAAAATGAACTATTTGCATAGGGTGTGTGTAACATAGTTCCATTTCGCATAAATGTGTCCATTTACGTCTTGACAGTCTTGCAGTTATCGCCGTCTTTATCTCTACAATTTTCATTGTTTTACAAAACATTTTTACCTGTTTATCACGAGCCATGTCACATTCTGGCAGAAAAATAAGACAGTCTTAATATGATATTTGGAGTGGGGACCCTGGTAAAAATTGGCGATAGGAGCTGCGTTTCAAAATACCATAGGAATTCTTATAGCCGGCTAGAGAAGGTGATAGAAAATCATATAGCTGGCTGTAGAAAGCGGAGAAAATCACACAGCCGGGCCATACGAAGCGATAAAAAATTATACGGCCGAGCTATAGTTCGTCAACGGGATATACAGTTTATCGCCATCGGCTAAGGCTATAAGAAATTGTGTAGAAATTCGTGTGCTTTGGAAATCATTAAGTTTGATACGGAACCACCTTGATATTTACAAGACACACTTTATATTTTCCTTTAAAACATATTTTTTTTTCATCAATTAAAATGAGAATAATCCATACAGGATGTGCAAACATTTCAAAATCATGAGTTGAAAAACGCTGACTCCGCGAGATTAAATATTAGAGCCTAGCACAAAGCGGAGCGGCGACGCACTGGCGCCTACAAACCTAACAGGGATACTTCACGCATTGCGCAATGCGTGAAGTATCCCTGTTAGGTTTGTAGGCGCCAATGCGCGTTTCGTGCTGGCTGCCCGCCCGCCGCGCCGCAGCGTGCCACAGTGCTTGAAGAAACTATTTCACACCAGAGGTATTGCACAGTATCATACGAAATTGAGGGCGCTCCAACATATTAGGAATGGCAGGCATCTTTCAAAAGTACGGAGCTTTCCTCGCAAAATAAATCAAGATACTACGGCCCAGAAAGAGAGCGGTAGTCCGGAAACTCACCGAGTACTAGCATCCGTAATTAGTAACGTTTAGCATACACTTTATCGCTGGCTGTTGCTTAATCGTCATCGGCTATAAAAGGTCATAAGTAATTGTGTAGCCGGCTATAGAAGCTATTGGAAATCTTACAGCCGGCTGTAGGTCTATGGTATTTTGGAGCATAGATTCTAATGCCAATTTTTGCCAGGGAAGAATCATTGATTATTTTATTCCTATTTCGTGAGGAAGAAATAAGAAGGTGGCTATAATTTTAAGTACGGGATATCATACTCGTTTACACGCTAGGGCGTGCTTCGTTATCATCCAACAAACATGTCAATATTAAATAAATGTCAATATTTATTCAAATTTTACTTATAAACACAGAGCAAGGTATGAACTCGGCAGGCACCAAAGTTCTTTGTAAAATTCGCGTCTCAGAGCAAAAAGGTTTGTTACAACTATTTTGTCTCGTGTAGGGCTTAAATTGCATAGGCCGCGAATTGAAGGAGTGATCAATTTTGATACCCGTTGTTGTGTCTGTTAACTTCTTCACTAGCAGGAGGGAAGCAGGTGAGAGATAAACAGAGATATAACTAAACAAATAAATAAATCATCAAATGAATGAAAGAAATAACAATAGGAGTGATAAATCAATTTCTTGATTTGAAGTAATTTAATATTTTGAACAAAACCATTTACAGGATGATTTTTTTACCTGCTGATTAAATAATTACTAAATTATGTAATACAGAATACAACAAACGACCCCGATCGTGTAAAATCCCCCCCCCCCCCGGCCGCAAACCAAACACTGTTCATCGGCGGATCCAGAAAATCCGCAACATTTTTTTTCTCCATTTAAACCTATGGATACGTATCGATTCTTGAAGGGGCCAGGTGCTTTAACAGGAATCGATTTATTTAATATAGGTTTAAATGGAGGGAATGCGGTGTTGCCGAATTGCTGCCTCTAATACTGTTTCCATGCAACATCCCGGAGATATAAGGCATGAGGTAAATCGCCCACAGTGTCGGAGGGGCTTAAGGTACATAAGTGCAGTTTTTGAAAAAAATTGAGATATTCATGAGCTCAACTAAAACTAGTTTGAGAGTTTAATTTTTGACAAATTCACAATTAAAATCCAACTTTTAAGCACCAAAAAATGAGTTTAAACTTCCGTTCCGCCCGAAGGCTCCATTTAATTTTGGAACTTTAAACACGTGTTTCTCGAAATAGAAAAAAAAAAACTGCTCTTATGCGCCTTGTCTCCAAGCCCTTCTAAAAGAGAAAAAAGATAGGCCACTACATCAGGTATGATTCACAGCACTTCGCAACTTATTCTCTCATTTGACGGACACAACCCTGGGGCGGCCTGCGAATGAGTATCAACAAAGCAATAATAATTTCTAATAAGAGAATACTTGCTCAGCCCAGATTCAAAGAGTGTAAATACAAGTTCTAACCTAATATTTGTTAACACAGCCTTAGTACAAAAATAACGTTTATCTAATAATCTTGTTATTTTCCGCTATATGTTGCTATTTTGTGATGCGGTACCCATAAAGATAGTTTTTGAGCCATCAAATTTCGGTGAATGCGTTCGAGCATATTTAGTCAAGGAAAAGCGCTTGTTTATCCTTCTCCAAGGTGCCTTTTCCCCAGATTAATCTGTTTTTGGTGTAAGGAATGAAAGCCATCAGCATTCCGGAGACTATGATCCAAATCCCGGCCAGGTAGAAAGAATAGTCCCAAACATTCATCACATCGAATACAAAGCCTACGAACAAACAATCATTAAACATATTTTATTACACGCGTGAAAAAAGCCATATCCGGTACAAAAATATTACTTGCTGATATGATAGATAAGACCATCAATGGACAAGTAACTAATTTCAGAATATATTGATTTTATTTATAAAAACTCTAAAATTCATTATTTGGCAGCGCTGCTGTTGTTAGAAAAATTCTCAAAGTTATGAAGAAGAAACTCCTTATGATTAGTTAACCCTTTCAGTATTGCTTCTGCACGATATAGGTAATCAGCCTAATTTTGATATCAAATTGCCAATTCCCTTAGATCACTTAATTCAGCCAATTTTTTTTACGAGGACGTAAGTTTATTGTAACGTTCCAAAATTCTTAAAATTTTTCTAAAAATGGACTATTGGGCAAATTTCTTTGAACTCGTACTAAAACTGGTTAGCAGGAAGAGGAGAATGCTTCATTTTCCTCAGGAAAATAGTTCCGGTACCCTCGCAAGATACAATGTCCTCGGCAATTTTGCAACGTTGCTTGGACTGACGCTCTGATTCAAAAATTGACTCAATTTTAATCATTTTACTTTCAAACATTTCAGTTTTTCCTAGAAGGCTGTATAATGTTCCACCGTAAAAATTCTTCACTGCAATATCACTAAATTATCAAACTACCATTACGCAAAGACTGAACATAACGTTCAGGGCAGTGCAAGTATTAAGGCGGGCGGTTTGGCCGAGTTTTTGACCCCCTCCCCCTTGTAAGGCACCCTCATGCTCCCCCTAATTTGAGTTACGTAAGACTGGCCTCCCCCAATTTGTCAGTAAAAATGAAGAAAACCTGAGAAATAGGTAACCAAATTATTTCCCTCGGATTTTTGTTCTTTAATTGGAAGGCTCACGTAAGATGTGATTTGATCCCCAATCCCCCTCGCAGGACCTTGCAAGGTTAGTTCAGACCCCTCCTCTTCATTAAGTAGCTTGCGTAGTGCTTAAACGGCCCTTTACCTAAGTAAGTGAAACGTAGGTATGCTCTTCCCAACCCTTCCGTCCAGAACTCGGCTTTCGGCTCCTGCCGCCGCTAGAGCTGTGGCGCGAAGTTTGAATTTCAACAATTTTGCAGTCTTGGCCGAAAACAAATATAACCGTCTGCTTTTAATTAAAACGAACAAATTCAATGCAAGTGATTTCTTTAAAAATGAACATTCATTTGCTTTTAGTATTTTGGCTGTTTTTCTTTTTTTTTCATTTTTATCAATAGCAGGCGGTCATATTTGTTTTCGCCCAAAACTGCAAAATTTTTGAAATTTAAACTTCGCGCCAAAACTCCAGCGGCGGGAGCCGAAAGGGCCGGAAAGAGCATACCTTCGTTTCATACATAGAGTCGTAATGTAAGTGGGAGAGCTGGCGCCACTTTTAAGCATTTTCCAGGTTCCGAATTCCGAGACTCCTTTGTGACGCCGGGTCACTTTTCCGATACATGATCGATTGTTCGCGATACACGGGTACCCGGCCATCCGATGTAGACAAAGGAGACAGGAATTACCAGTATTCCACACCGCCATTTTGGATCGAACATGTATCGAAAAAGTGACCCGAGCTCGACGCACACTGGGCTCGGAACTCGTCGAGCAGAACATGGCGCCAGCTCTCCCATTTACATTACGACTCTATGCACTCTATGGTTTCACTTACCTTGCCCTTTACCAATGTAATGATGGTGGAATTTTGAAAGGCTCTGACCTGCTAATGGAGGCCCCAAAAGGTTCCCGATGCCCTGGCAGAGGAGGATGAGACCGTAGGCAGCGGTGAACCGGTTGAGCGGGATCAGCTCGACGAGGATGGTCGGCGTGAAGGAGTAGTTGGAGGCGAAGAAGATGCCAAAACTGGCCGAGGTGGCGAAAAGGGCCCAGTAGTTGTCCATGAAGAGCGGCATGAGTCCGGCCGAAATCCCACAGGCGCACAAACAAGCCGCGTAAGTCTTGGTCACGTTCATCCACGGTTGGTCACCGGCCCAGCCCAGGAATATCTGAGCTTACGGAAAATACGGAAACGGAGATCAGCTTCGATCATAACGATCGTCATGCAGCCTTTACGATCACATCTCTACATTAGTGGAGCCAGAAAATTGGCAACATTGTTTTTTCACCATTTAAACCTACGGAAATGTTTCGATTCTTACAGGGTGATGGATTCTTGTACAGGTGCTCCGAACAGGATCGATTATTTAACGCAGGTTTAAATTGAGGAAATCCGGTGTTGCCAAATTGCTGGATCCGCCTCTGCATCTCTAAAGCTTTTTGAATGCAGGCGAATGAGGCTCACGGAAAAAAATGAAATTGTTGATTTAACAATTTTGTAATTTAAAAAAGTATCTGACATGTTTTGATGTGATTATACAGTATACAAACTCTAATTTAACCACCAGGTTGAATTAGCTTTCCACTATTGTAAAATTTACATTTGAAACAAATTGGACATTTTAAACAATTTAATTGTTAATGTTGCGATCTATTTAGGCATAGTTCATAAAGGTTAATTTTCTACTTTCAGTAAGTAATGAAAGTCATCCCTGTTAAGTAAATGTCTCTTTTTATGATAACTACGTCATTTTATGAACGCGTGGCTTTATAAAGCTACTGCAAGTATGGAGGTGCGTTTATTTTATTTTTTTTAAAAAAATTAATAGCCCATGGTGAGGCCGATATCACAGCTATCTTCTTAATGTTGGTTCTTTGCGCCTAAGATGAAAATCTACTTACATATTGGAATGGATTTATAATGTACTGACCATTCCGAAAGTATTGGCCACTCCAATGACACTGAGTAGTCCAGAAGCTTCGGCGTCTGACATTCCTCGATTGATGACAAAATCAGATAGGTAGAAATAAGGAACAATGAACCATGTGAAGAGGAGAATAGTCGCCAAAGAGAAGAGCAAGAAATGGAGTTCCAGAAACATAGAAAAGTCCATTAAGCATGCAAAAACGTCGGTCCATTCCCCGCAACATTTTCCCTGGAACAAAAATAAAACACTAAAACACTAAAGAGAGTGTTTTCCTTCGAAATATCAAAATTTTCCGAATTCAACAAAAAATTGCTTCGCCGAAACTTTGCTCTCGTGGACAGTTATATCATACGTAGGTAGGTCGTGGAATAAACATGTAATTTCAAGGAATCCTATGATACTCATTTTTAACCGTTTACAAATAGATTAGATAGATAGAATACTTTATTTTTTATCCTGGGGAGGATTTAACAAAGGGGGTTAGGTTGGGAGATCATTTACAAACATGAGATTACTTCATTATGCTACACTTATCTCTAGGATATGCTGGGCTTACAATTATGTACATGAAATAGCAGCGTTCATGATAGGCAAACTTTGTTTTTTGATTCAGTTATTCATTTATTATGAACGATCTTATACTCAGAATTGTCGCAAAATAATTATAAATATCTGTAAGCTGTTGCTCGTTTGAGTCTTTACTAAGAATTAGGTTTATGTCTTTGTTAAGGTAGCTGTGTAAGTAATATTTTCGAGTGTTATGGTAAATGGGGCAGACAAAGAATAAGTGGTGCGCATCTTCAGGTTGTTGAGTATTACAAATTGTGCAAATTTCGTTAGGGTTAATTCTATGGTTCATCTGATTGATAGTGATGTTAAGGGAGTTAACATTTCTCGCTCGTAGTTGGCTGAATAGTCTTTTTTTCGCAAAACTCACTTTACGATATAAATAATTCTGGTTGGCATCAATATTCTCAGTGTTAATTAGGTTGTAATGGGGGACAAACTTTGTTTCATTTAACTTTTCTTTGTCTTTTTCCATGGTAAGTTCTGATATTTTTCTCTGAACTTCATTTACCATTTTCCTGATCGCAGCTGGCTCTGTGGTTTCTCTAAGAAATAGATATTCTTGGTCAATTTTATGTAACATGGCTTTTAATTGAGAGAACCAGTTGTATTTAATTATATTGTACCTACTTTCATCTAGTTCTTTGAGTCGGGCCAAGCATATTTTAGGGTACCTGGACTCGTGCATATTTTGTACTCTGTGGTACCAATTCAGCGTAGATTTCAATACCTTTGTTTCTATATTATCTTTGCCGGTTTCTTGTCTTATGACATAGTGGGGTGTGCATCTTTGCCATCGAAAAACGGATTTGAAAAATCTGCTTTGAGCAGACTCAAGCATATCACAATACCTGAGAGCCCAAATTTCTGCCGCATATAGTAGAGTTGCTAGTGTGACCGAGTCCCATAATTTTAATACGGATTTGAAAGAGTTATTTTTCGCTTTTTGTAGTATTTGTATCACGGAACTTCCGGCTATAGCTGTGCGGGATATTGCGTCATCAGCTTGCATTGCAAATAGTCCGCTGCTTGTAAATTTGACACCTAAGTACACGTAGTGTTTTACAACTTCAATTTCTTCGCCTCCATATTTGAAGCGTGGGAGTTTACCTGGTTTTCTGCCACAGTGACAGGGTAGTATTTTTGTTTTAGAGACGTTTACTATGAGGTCATTTTCTAAACAGTATTTTTCTAGGTAATTTAATTTTCTTTGGGCGTCGATTGGGGACTCGGCCAAAATAACTAGGTCGTCTGCATAGGCAAGGAGTAATATATCAGTACTTATCGTTACATTTATACCACGTACATGCTTCCTAAGCACTGTTTCGATGTCGCTAATAAAAAGAATGAAAGCTAAGGCGCTAAAGGGGTCACCTTGTAAAACTCCCTTGCTGACTTTAACAGGTTTGCTTAGCATGCCATTTACGTCTACCATAACATTGGCGATTTTGTACAGATTTTGCACTATTTTTATTAAGTTCGCAGTTACTCCTAAATTATAAAGTTTTATCCACAATTTCTGGTGGTTAACCGAATCAAATGCTTTTTTGAAATCTACAAAAATCAAGTAGGCTTTTTGTTTTTTCAGTTTCTGAAACTGGATGATGGAATTTAACACAAAAATGTTGTCATTGCAGCCTCTCTTCTCTCTAAAGCCAGCCTGAACCGTTTACAAATAAAATTAAGTTAAAAAATAAAATATCTGACTGATTCATGACAACATTTGTCATTGGATTTTTTTCTGGCGAAGTTTTGAAAAATAGAAAAAATTTTGTTGCTGGATGTTGTTAAGAATAAAATTTTTGCTGGTCGCTACTTTGGACTTTTTTTTCTATCTGTATGTCTATCTATCTATTTATCTAACCATCTATTTTAAAGACAGCCCCGAAAAGTATCCTCTTTGTTGTACAAATTGATTGCTCTTACACGACAATCCCCCTGCAATTTTGATCGAAAAAAAAAAACTATCATAAAAGTAAAATGAAACTTACCGTTTCGGTATTTTTTGAGATTGTTGTAACTGAAGTCCGGTAGATATTTGGACAAGAGGAGGCACGGAGATGACATGTGTTAACGCTTAGCATAGCACCACGATGCATCAGTGAATTTCTGTTCTCAGAAAGAAAAACATCTTAAAACTCGTTTGAACAAAAATATTAATAGGTTCATTGCTTTTTCATACCTGCAGAGTAAGTTCTAATCCAGGCAATGCGTCCTACACGTGGCTGCCCCTAAAATTCGGGGTTTCTAATAAGATTCTGGAATTAAATCATCAACATTAAAACTCATGGAAAGACTCTTCTTGTCTTTGTACCAAAGTAAGAACTCGGCCGATTCTAGACCCGAAAACCCTAATCTCCAAAAGCCCCCCCCCCCCCNAATCGGAACACCCCAAACCTGAATTTTAAATACAGTCCCACTTAAATTTCACAAGGTAAGGGAGGTCAGCAGAGCTTGGAGCAAGATCCATCCATATAGGTCAGTCATTCCCGAAACCCAAATGAGAATCTTCTGCACATGACGTCAGCATTACTGCCGCGAAAACCAGAAATGTCGGAAACAATGCTTTACTTATGGAAGAGAACAAATTTGTCTTAATGAATCATTTAAATTTCTTACTTTTAAATTCTTTGAAGCTTTCTGAGTGTCGAAAGGAACGTTTAGAAATTAGCGTCAAGGGTTTCAATTCAGCTGAATTTGCGTTTTTATATTTTTAAATGATTTTTGAAGTCAGCGATGTAACAAGCCATCTAGTGGTATAGATTCGCGTGTAAAAATGGCTGATGCAGAGTAAACTGTAAAAATGAAAGAACACAAATTCGGCAAAATCGAAACCCTGAATGCTAATGTCTAAACGTTCTTTTCGACACACAGAAAGTTTCAAAGGATTTAAAAGTAAGAAATTTAAATGATTCATTAAGAAAAATTTGCTCTCTCCCATAAGAAAAGCATTGTTTCCGACTTTTCTGGTTTTCGCTGCAGTAATGCTGACGTCACGAGCCAATGGAAAGGGGCTTACCCCGAGCGGGGAAATCTGCGCAATGACTGACCTATATGGATGGATCTTGGCTTGGAGACCATAAAATTTGGATTCCCTGGTGTTAATTATCTATTTCAGATACTACCTTCTTCTAGAGAATCTACGTCAATTTAGCGACCGTAATAGCAAGTTTCGGAGGGTACATCGGCACCCACACCGCCCTTCTCTTTAGAAGGCTACATTTGGGTGCGAATGGGTCAATTTGAACTTTCAGAAATCAGTTAAGGTCTAAATTTGTTATGCTCTTCAATTTGGATGCAATCCATTTGCAATTGAGAAGGGAATAGTCCTGAATTTTAAAATTGAGCCCCTCCCCTCCGTTTACCTCTCAAGAGAGGCTAGGAGGTCTTCGGATCCATGAAATTTGGCTTCCTTGGCGTTAAATTCCTAGGATACCATCTTTCACCATAGAATCTGACTAATGACCGAAGGTGTAAATGAATTCGTCAACAAATCATGCTGTCCACAACGTATTGGTATTGCCGGTCTCAGTGTTCGCACAACTAGAGTGGTCCCCGCTGATTTGAAAAGTCCCGCGTTAATTTGTATATTTTGCCGAGCGCGGCACGGAATTGGCGGGAACCAATGGGAGTGGATGTTTCGATTTGTTTACATTCGCCAATTTTGATAAGGAGGTTGTAATGTAAACAAACGTGGTTCTTCATCCTCTCGTGAGTTTTGTGAATTAGTCAAACGAATCTTTAAAGTTTCTCGAGGATCTCCATTTTTTTGTGCAAGTACGGATAGTTTTTTGTGCGTATCTTAACCACATCCTTCCAAAGAATATTCAATTCGGTGTTCTCTCGTTCAATCTCTAAGTTTACAAGTCGACGCCTCAAGGTGTGCCCTCATAGTATCTGTAAGTTCTTACTATTAGTTTATTTTTTCCTCCTAGCAGTTTCATTATAGTACTGTATTTTTCAAAATCATTGCGGCTTTTCAAATTCGAGGACGCTTCAAACCTTGAATTATGGTTTGCCCATCAATTAATTCCTCATTCATCAACAAGGATTCACTTGTCATGTTGTGGTCTACTCGCCAAGAGCTGAGCCATCTTATGTTGAGGCAAAATTCAAGCACTGTTTATGTTACCTCTCATTAATGGTGCCATCTGACTGCATGTATTATCTGTTGAGTGGTGCTGATTCAGAGCTAATCAGAGATTGACATTTGTCTGAACACAAGAAGACTCTGCTCTACTCCAAATGTCTTATAATGTCAGTGCGCGTGCGTCTCACCAGTTTATTCATGTTTGAGTGGCCTTTCAAGAGGGTTTTCATAGCTCAGATATTAAAGACTTTTAGCCCAGAAAGAAGACTATAGAAGGTCTCAGTCTCAGGCTTCTCGTCAAACATTCCGAGGTTCCAATGATTAGCGTACCTGTGAATCTTGATGTCTTTCAAGTAGTGGACGGTGTGTTCCCTGACGTTGGCCTGTCTTTTGAGCTTGGGACCGGAGCTCCCCGCCGAGTCGCTTCGGAGTGGGGGCTGTTTTTGGGTCTCGATTGGGGTCCTCTCGGCGATCGTACCATTCTTGAGGGTGGAGTCGATGCTGTGGCTCATCTCTGTGGACATAATCTTGCGCGGTTTCACCTTCAGCGACATGGTCACCGGTACCCGTGAGCCGTTACTCTTCTGCGAAAGCTCGCCATGGTCGCTTATACTGCGGCACATCAACAAGCTCGGGTAGTTCCTCAAGATGACGTTGAAAACCCGCTTGTTGTTGCTCAAAGATTCCAAAACCTCAAACGGGACCTGTTCAGAAATGGATCACCAATAATATGAAATGGACGTGTTTCTGTCAAACAGAACTATGTGCATTAAGACATGAGCCCTGAGACCTATAAGAATATATGCACAACAGGGCTCACGTCATAATGCACATAGTTCCGTTTGGCAGAAATACGGCCAAATATATAACACCATGCAGTATACTCACCCATAATATGGACCGCGCTAAGCAGAATGTGACCAAGCCACATCAGCTATTGCCAGATTGACTCGGACACTTTAATATTTTACATGAAAACGGTTGTGCGGATTTTTGTGCAAATTTCAGTGAATTTTCTGCATGGTTCGGAGCAAATTCCTTAACATTTTCAGAGGAAACCGCATGAACGTTCTCTTGTAAAAAATTAAAATTCCCGGTTAAATTTGGCAATAGCTGACGTGGCTTGGTTCCTTTCAGCTAAACACGGTCCTTATGTTGTCACCTTCCAGCCAAAGTATCGCAAGCGCCGTGCGACGTTTCAAAATTTTCGCCTACATTTTATTTTTTTACAGGGAAATTGTTCAACGAAGCTGTCCAAAAATTTTCTTGAATTTTCTTTGTGCTGTCGATAAAGTCAGGCAAAATTTTCAAATAGATTCAACCAACGAATTCTCTGTAAAAAAATAAAATGGCGGCGGAAATTTTGAATCGTCGCATGGCGCTTGTTATACTTTGGCCGGAAGGTGACGTTGTACACCCAAGTGGTGACCCACAGTATCTTTAAATGTAAGGTATGTGTTAGAAAATAGGAGCCCGAGAATATACTGAACATGTCATTTTTATGGTGACTTTACCCTCGAGGAATCTGTCGAAGCTCTTCTGAACCTTGAAACTACTTTACAAGTTAGAAAAGAAAGAAAGAGAAAAAGAAAAATAACTCTTGTCCCAAAAAGAAGACCATAATGGAAGAGACCGCCTGCGTTACTGCTGTGAGATATTCCATTTCTAAATCCAATCAAACTCTCAATGCTTACTTATTTGCTAGAGTTTGATTTGGATTATATTTTGCAATAAGGAACCGCTATCTCTGGCTCTCTCAAAAAGCACATTTCTGCATAGGGAAACCACTGGCATATATGTTGTTTCTGAAATGAGCCAGAAATAGTGGTTCCTTAATGCAAAATGTGGTCCATTTGATACAGAGGTGGACTCTCACCGTAACGTGGGCGATGCCCTCCATTGCAGCCTCAACAAAGATGGATTTCTTTGAGCTTAAGAATTGGTTTCAGAGAAAACCAATGGCGCTATTCAGTGGCGTGGCGTGCTTTGCGATATATCGATATTTCCCCATTTGAAGCTTTGGTAAAGAATCGATTATTAAGGTGTTCGTTGCGAACACCTTGCTAATCGATCCTTTTTCACAGGTTTAAATGGCAGATCAATCGATATATCGCAAAGCACGCTACGCCACTGGCGCTATCGCTCGTCTCGCAAACTTTTACGCAGGATAAATCCCTCATGTGCTGGTTACACGCTCAAACTTCCATCAATTTCCGATCCAATGGTGACTGGTGCCCACCATCTACCATCAAATTTCTGCGGCCTGCAAAAATTTGATGGTAGATGATGGAGCTGTGGGGCTCATCCTTCATCTGATTTCCACACAACCGTGCTTATTTCATGCTTATTTCAATCAACACGCTGTTTTAATTAATTTTACTCATCAATCTAGATAACTCTCGACCGCCATCTTGGTCATCATTTTGATCGGAATTTGACGGAAAGAGTGTGTAACCAGGCCATAAAATCGTAAATCTCTGCGACATGCAAGAGCTCTATTCAATTTGATTTAGTATACCTTTTCTTGCTGCTTAACGAAGGTCGGGATGTTGACGACGGAACAGTAGGCATGGGTGACGGAGTCGTCAGGTCTCTCCTCGGCGATCGGATCCTCGACGACCCTCTTCTCAGTCGAGGTTCTCATCTCGGTCATGACGTACTCGTGCGTTCCGCTCTTGAGCATCTTCCGCAGCTCCTCCACGCCCGGGAAGTCCGAGTTGGACCTGCCGGAGATGGAAGTGCTCGACGCGCACTTGGCCTCCCTGCTCAGCCGCGCCATCTTCCTCTGCTCCAAGACCCACCACTCGGGGTCCCGCATGACGGCCCCGCAGACGCACAGATTGAAAAAAGTCCCGGCCAAGAGCAGAATTGCCCCGCGCCAACCGTACTCCTCGATGAAGAACGTCGTCATCGGGGCGTAGACGAAGGTGCCGATCCCCGTCCCGCAAGCCCCGAGACTTGTCGCCAGAGAGCGCTTCTTGTCGAACCAGTAGGCGACGCTCACGACTGCCGTCATGTAGCACAGCCCCAGCCCGGAGCCGGCGATGATCCCGAACGTCAGGAACTGCTGCTCTATCGTCGTGCTCACCGAGGACAGTATGAAGCCTGTCCCCGAGATGACGCCACCGAGCATGGTCATGGCGCGACACCCGTAGCGGTCAACCAGAGCGCTCCCCACCGGCCCCAGGAGCAGCGGGACGGCCATGAATAAACTCCCGATCCAAGATGTTCTCGACTTGCTCTCACCGTAATGGTTCAAGAACTCTATATAGAGGAGCCCGAAGGAGAAGGATATCCCGTCTGCCACCATGCTAATAACCAGTGACGACAAGACGACGACCCATCCCCATCCCCCATCGGGAATCCTCGGTTTCTCCTCTTTGGGGCTCTCCGGGGCTTCAGGATCGATGGGTTCGCTTTTAACGCGCTCTATCGGCTCGAATTGGTGTCTGAACACGAGGCTGTTCCTCCGCTGGAGTCGGCGTGTCTGGCAATGGGTGCTGTCTTCGGGGGTGGCGCAGGAGGTGTCCTCGCTGGTAGCCCGGAGGACCTGGTAGGAAGGGAGGATCTTGCAGCTGTAGCTGAGGGTTGCGGGGTCGGTGCGCGTGATGGGTCGTTCCGTGTAGGATGAGAGCCGAGGGCGACGTTGCCATGGCTCCGGGCTGGGGCGATGCTCGAAGCTCCGGAAGCGACCGATGGAGCGCTCCAGGTTATGGCTCATCTGGGAGAAGAGCCGCCGGCAATTCGCGTTTTCCTGCCGACCTGGCAGCGTCGGCCCGTTGCAATGCTCCGAGGACTGCCGCAGAAGTCTCGTCATGTCCCTCTCGTGATCGCACTCCGTCAAACTTTGCGCTTTCGTGTTGCTCCATGGATCCCGATTGCCTATTGGTTGGTTTTTTAAGCAGTTGGATTGTGTGTTCAATTCCTGACTGGGCAAATTGAGCTCAGATATTTCTCGCTTGAGGGTGTTGCTCTCGAGACTATTCGCGCCTTGTAGTTTACTTCCAGACTTTGTGTTGGGTGTTGCGTCTAGCGCCTCGACGCATAGGCATCGCCCGCATCGATGGTTCTCCTCGTTGGTAGATTGGACACAATAATTAGAGTCATCATGATTGTTCGACTGAATTTCGACTCCTTCTTCCTTGCGGCCCTGTATTCCTTCGGACGCTCTGACCTTCTCAAAACTTCCCCAAGTATTCTCTGAAAAGTTGCTCACGACTGAACTTAGGCTCGGCGAATCAGATTCCTGCAGACTGAAAGAGTCGCGTTCCGGCACCGCGTTTTGTCGTTTGAAGGATTCCGATCTGGAAGCAATGCGAGCTTTGCTCAGTAGATTGCTATCATTGATCGCCTCTTCATTTCGAAGAATCAGATCTGCCATTTTATGGTATGAATCGCTTCAAAATGTATTCGATAAATAAGGCATAGACATTATTTCAGTTTGCTCAGTCGTGTTTCAAAACAAGGCAAAGAAGCTTATTTCTTGTACATCAATCTTTTTAGCGAGAAATGCGATTCAAAATTTGTAGAGAGATATTAAATTGCGTCAAATGATCGGGAACGAGATATGGCAGTTCAGGAGCATTACTGTCAGATACAATTCTCCGATACGTTCAAAATCGAAATTTGAAATTGATACCTACTAGATTCAATCGCGTGAAAACATAATAAGTATCTATTTGTTTTTTCCACTCAATTTATTTAACTTGCAACTCACCAAAGGAGAACGTTTCCACAGTGCGTTTTTCCTCAGCAAAAGAAATCTTAAGGTGAGTAAAATGTCGATCGGTTTCAACGAACGAGAAAAATTTTGTTCTGCGAAAATATTCCAAAAAATTTGATATCAATTAAAGGAGCTATGAATTTCTAATCAGAAGATGAATTCACAGTATTTCCACTATAACTGGTTGAATAAGTTCTTTCATAAATATATTTTATGAACTATGAACTTTATACCTTTGTCCAACTTATCTGGCGCATTGATCAAGAAACCGCCGAATAAAACGGGCAATTTTTCTTGGATCCTATTTTCTGTTTTATGCGTTTATAGATGTTTGTCTCGGACAATTCAAAGGTCTGCCCGAATTCGAGAAAGCCACAGTTCAGATTATTCCTAAACAGTTTGTAGTATCCGTAAAAAGTTACAATAATTTTGGTTAAAGTTTTCATCAATAACCTGCTACGCTTCAACGAACAAAGCCACAAAATCAGTTCCCTCCGGTTCTCGGGGGAGGTTTGAATTAAAACTGCGCGAGGAGCTTCAAATCTTAAAATATCTTCAGAGTAATTTTAAAATAGTGCAAAGCACATATTTCAGTCCCTCAGTTCGTCCCATTGCTGACTGAGGAGCGTTTCATGTTCGCGTGTCCATTTGTACTTGAATTTCAATATTGCAATATCCATCGCTTATACCCAATTTGCCGCTTAACCCAACTTTAAATCAGATTCATTCAAATTCAGAGACAAACGATTATTTTAGTGGCTTATTCTTTATCACGATCGAGATTTATATTTCAATCCAAAGAGCTAGGAACAGGAGAAAGAGCTTAGAGTGGAGATCCAATAGCTTCTACGAATAAAAGCCCTTTGCTCAAATAAGAAATGTTTGCTTCTTGTTTCCGTTTTTCCAAAAAAATGACCGAGATATTCCTTTTCACGAGGCGTGGAGATGAATCAATAAGCCTGTAACAGACAAAAAAGCCAAACATTTGATCAATTATTTTTATCAGAAAATTTAACATTACACGTGTGCATATTAACATAATGTGCATATGTGTATATTGTGTTCTTATCTTAGAAATAAGGTATTCGAAGTAATAACAGTGCAGAAGACCCATCCTTCACCCTCAAGCCAACTTATCACCCCGTGTTGAATTACGCAAGATTGGCCTGCCTCCCATCAGGGTGTCTGTAAGTCCGGAAATAGTACTGCTTTTTTAAGGGCGGTCCGGAAGTACTGAAAAAGTGCAGAAATTACGCAAGAAGGTCCGGAACTTTTCTAATTTTTACTTTCTCGCTCCCCTAGTTTTGTAATTTTCGTCTCAATTTGAGCAAAATTGGAATTTTTTGAATTTCCTTCATAGTTGGAGGTACTGAAAAAGTACTGAATCTTTCTGTTGCGGAGGTACTGAATTTCGTGGGAATGTACTGAAAAAGCACCGTAAAGGTACTGATTTTTGAGCAGCCTGTTTTAGTAAACACCCTGCCCACAATTTTTCAGAAAATAACGGAAAACCCCGAAAGAATTATTTATAATGAAAAATGATCATAATCCTTTCTTTTGAGTGAAAGGAGTGAACGGCTCCATATAACCGGAGACAATAAAAAAATAATGGAGTAAAAATCGGCTCGTGAAAATCGGAGGTAAAGAAGAAGAAGGAGCAGCAGGAAGACCCTTTACTTTTTAGAAGAAAAATTATCGTCACCATAAACTTCAACAAAAACCCCTTGCATTACTGGCAATATATGTAATTTTTCCTCTATTTACAAGTTAGTGATGTTAAAATCACTCAATCATATTTTACTTTTCTCAACAAAAAATGGAAATAAAACATATCCCTTGGAGCGCATGCTTCACTGCGATGGACATCGCGGCAGGCGCCTCGATGCAACTATTCGTCCTTAATAGTTGTTTGTATTGCATATGCAAGATAGTGAAGGCGCGAAGATGTTTCTTGATCAATAAACACGTTTTTGCCGAGCTTCGCACCGATGTGATGCGATGCGATGGAAGACTGACTTTCAGAACGTAATTTTTTTTCCTGAAATTCTGTCACACGTTTTACATTTGGGATTCAATGGAGTGACATCATGATACGCCGCGATGAAAGAGAGTAGACTTGAATGAACGCAGTACTGATGTGGAGTATTTCGCAATATATCGATTGATCTGTCATTTAAACATATGGAAAAAGATCGATAGACAGCGTGTTCGAACACCTTAATAATCGATTCGTTACCACAGCTTCAAATGTTGAGATTTCAATGATTCACGCCTTGCCACTAAATGAAGGAACATCCTCATCGCAATGTAGACACGATTTCACAAAGAACATTCGAGGCTCAGTTCGTGATCACGGTCGACGTTCAAGATTTAAAATTGAGTCTCGATTGTTAAAGTTAAAACTGCGCACACCTCGGATCACGGCTTTAAAAATTTAGGCTCGTGTTTTAACTTTTACCTATTTTGAAAGAAAACTAACCCGTAGTTTTTCTAGGAACGGTTCATAAAATTTCTTTGATCACTCAAAAATTAGCACAGAAAGTTTCAGGGCGATATCTAGGTTGATTTCCATTTTAAAATATCAAAAAGCGGTCGGATATTTTTCATGAAAGTTGCGATACACTTGATAAAAAGGCTCTCGGATCCTAAATTCAGACTTATAAAAAATTAAACAAGAAAAACTACTCTTGATTCAATCGGAGTTTTGTTTGGACCAAAAGGAAATGCGATTGAATTAAGAGGCTTGGCTCTCGATTCAAGCAAAAATACCGTTGAATGAAGAGTATTTTTTCTTGTCAAATTTTTTAAGAGTCCAGAATCTGGATCCAAGAAACTTTTTTTTTTCCAGTGCAGTTACGCATTTTTCGACTTCAACTATCGAGATGATCAAATGGACGTATTTCTATCAAACGGAACTATGTGCTTAAGACATGAACCCTGATACCCATAAGAATATATGCATTACGGGGCTCACGTCACAATGCACATAGTTCCGTTTGATAGAAATACGTCCAAATGACTCTTTATAGAAGTGATAAATGAAACGCAGCCCAAAGGATCGTTCAAAAAAAAAAAAAAAAAAAAAAAAAAAATGACTTGAGTCATAAATAAAACAGTTATCAGATAAAAACTCAATATTCTTATACAAACACTGTTAATTTATTGTTTTTTGTTTTAAGTTGGGATATCTCATATTGGATTGATGAAGCCGAAAGTTTCATGAAGTAATCAGCCTCTAGAAGGTACGAACTAAATATAAAATCACAAGACGAAGGAGGCCCACAACCAAAAAAAAAATAGTCGGTGCTGCTGACAGAACCTTCCGCTCACAGGGCTCATGCACATTCCTCGTATTTTCTGTCGTGAAAACAGGACTTCGGTCGTGAGCACAGAGTACTCTGTCCTCATGATGGAAGCCTCTGAAGCTGTAACAATGAAAGTGCAGGAGCTCTTTGAACAGAACTATTTTTTGTCAGTGCAAGTGGTCCCTTCGACTCTTGTTATTGATGATAATGACATTTTAAGCTCCTGGTTGTGAAAGCTCCTATTCTGACATTCATCCAACATTCTCTAGGTATAAAAGCTATCGTGGTATGCCAATAATATAGACACACAAAGCAACAATTGTCTATATAGAATAAAATCGTGTCCCTGCGGGTCATTTTACTGTTATGATGACCCGACTAACGAGTTGGTCGAACTAACTTCCTGTTTTGAGGTCCATGAGCATCAAATATTCAAATCCCTCGACGCAGCAAAGTGTGAGCTTTCAATTTAACCTCCCGTGTTCGCCGAATTGAGACAAGCGACGCAGGATCAGAATCTAAGGAAGAAAGCCCTCGATCTAGCCAGTTTGAATCCCTTATCAACAATCAACGTTGCCAAATAGAAAGGTTTTATTTTCTGTCCATGCACCATCCAAAACTGAGAAATTCCGATCAAATTGTGCAATCCGGGGGGAAAATTCTACTTATTATTTTATCGAAATAACGTCATTTTTGCATAATTTTTACTGTTGAGTACAATTTTCCAAGGCGATGTTCAGTATCATTTGATTTAGCTTAGGTAAAACTGATTTTTTATGTTTCAAAATAATAATGTGTGGGGTATAATGAAATGTAATGTCTCCAAAATAGTTATAGCTTTACCTAAAGCGTGAATGCATCTTTTAGACCTGCCGGACAAATGAAAACAAGATGTGTTCATTAAATGTTTATACAATTTCATTTTTTCCCCTATACTTTACGGGTTCTCTCTTAGTATTATACGACTTTCTTTTATCAAACTGAGGGAAAATGACACATCAAGCAATTGTAAATATAATTTGATCTCGAATTTGCACGTGTCAGGTAAAATTATTAATCCACCCCAAAGTATGTCAAGTCTTCTTTGTCCTCTCTCAAAGAAATTCCTTTTTCGATACATGGGAGGGTATTTTTGCGGGTCTTCCAGCTCTCTATGTTCTCCTGTCACTAAATTATAATTTGCGAGACTGCGTAAAGAAAAACGTCGCAGGAAGAATTTCATCAATGAGCGACGGAAAATATGTGAGTCTAGAAAAAATGAGTGTATGAGAATGTGTATGAGTGTATCAAAAATGTGTCTAGAATCTTTTGATTTTACAGATATTTGGCAGCTGGTAAAGGAGGCTACTGCCCAAATACTTTGATGGTGGCACTATACTCTGGCCTTAAATTAAGTGGTTGACCGACCAAGGAAGCTGCTAATACACCATTCCTTCTCCCCAATCTCCGCACCTCAAATAATTCTATCAATTGGACGTATTTATGCTAAAAGGAAGTAAGGTGCACGCCAGGGTCGGACTGGCTCGCATCTGAGGGCGTATACCATTGGCTGGTTAAAGGAGCGTTATGTGATATTTTCTGGTAGGGCATTCCTTACGTGGAGAGGGGTGCAGAAAATTTTGGCAAATCAGCACAAGTTTACGCTATTTTCTGGTTCAAAGTTTATTGATCGCACGGAGTGAAAATTGCAAAATTGAACATGAAGCACAGCATTGAGAGCTCACGCTTCGCGTCATCGCGCCTTCAATTTTTCAGATGCAGCACGGACGTCCATCAAGTACGAATAGTTGTATCTCTGCGCCGTCGTCAACGCGCATCCTTTCCCTCGCTTTATTTCCATATTGTGTTTGTTTGCGTTTGTCTTATTTGTAATGTTGCTTCAAACTAGAGCAGAGCATTGCGAGTTCACGACTCACGGCATCGCGTCTTACATTTTTCATATGCAATGTGGACATCCATCTTGCGAGAATAGTTGTATCGCGTTTACATTTTAGATGTCTCTTATTTTTGAATTTCGAGATGAATTAAGGTTAAGTTTGCCCGAGCTATGCTATGGTATGTCCAAATCAATAGTCATTTGAAAAGGAGAAAATATGTTTAAAGGTCTCTTAAGAAGTCTATAAAGGTCTATATGTCTAAAAATCGAACCGACCATAGCTTCTAAGGGAGTTACACATAGTGAATGGAGAAGGGGGATAATAAAGCGCCTGTATGTCAACGAAAAGGTGAACATTTCACAGGAATGTGTCTACGCTTCATAAAGTAGTTCTTGGACCTCTGTTCACCACTATCGTGCGTAAAAGCACCCTTCTTTGCTCTTAACTCTCTCTTCTTCCGTTCATTTAAGAAATTTTCCGCATATATTCTCGGTTGTAATTATTTTTCTCTTCTTATTTTGCTATCTGTCAGAAGGGCACGTTTTTGGCGCTGCAAGAGGGCGTATCTGCCAATGGCAGAGTGGCCTTATGGCCAGTCCGAGCCTGGTGCACGCAAACCATGCGCTTATATGTGTAGTTCTTTTTAGCATAAATTCGTCCAATTGAATTGCTTAAACTCAGATTATAGTAACAGACCTTTTTCCAGTGTTGCAGAATTACAGAGAGTTCGCTTAACTTTTATGTGGAAACTACGATGAAACAGGGCAGACCGTGACTTCTCTATTTTGGTGCATATTACCCCTTCCCCCACCAGTTTCCCTTTTTTTCATGCTTTTATCGAATTTGGGCGCAATTGTAAAACAAAAACAAAAATGAAAAAAAATTGAAACAATAATAATTGTTATTATATCTGGATTTCCTTTTTTGCGATAAAGGAATAATCAAAATTCTCAGTGAAGTTCTCGAATTAGAACTATTCGACCCCCTTGAAACGAAAGAGCATACGATATCTTTTTAGCATTCTTGCCACTTCACAGTTAGCGTGTGCTCTTGTTTGGTCCTCCAATCACCATAATTATACAAATTCTAGTGAAACTATGAGGAAGGGATCAAAGAATTGAAAAAAGAGATAATTAATAATAATGTGGAAGCTACAAAGAGATGGAAAACATTCTAACGCCCTGTCTGAGGGAAAATTTTGTTTGTGTTTAATTGATCGATCCCTCCACATTCTTTAAAGTTATCATTTTCAATGTTAAGAAAAAAAGGTAGCTGTCTCTAAAGTATCATATAGAGTAAAGGCAAGGCCCACCAAATTATTACAATAAATTAAAAAACACGAATCGTGGTATATCATGGCCTCTCCGGAGGCCGGCAATGTTATATAATATTAATAATAATGTGGAAGCTACAAAGAGATGGAAAACATTCTAACGCCCTGTCTGAGGGAAAATTTTGTTTGTGTTTAATTGATCGATCCCTCCACATTCTTTAAAGTTATCATTTTCAATGTTAAGAAAAAAAGGTAGCTGTCTCTAAAGTATCATATAGAGTAAAGGCAAGGCCCACCAAATTATTACAATAAATTAAAAAACACGAATCGTGGTATATCATGGCCTCTCCGGAGGCCGGCAATGTTATATAATAAATATAGCACGATTAGATGCTTACCTTGAAAAATTATTGCCTTTGGGTTTCCCGCACGAAAAATCCAACACTTGCTCGTTGCGTAGAGCTAATATAGACCAAGCGAACAACTCGCCAAAGATTAAACGAAACAATTAAACAATTAGAAACTCCGCGAGGGTGATAGAGGAGACAGTCCTGTAGAGTTATCAAAAACCGACGGGGGCACTGCGGGCAGTTTGATGTAGAAAAACTTCGGGGTGAACGACCCGGAAACAGATAAACTAAGCCCGGAAATGGATATTGAAAAGCCCAGTTTTGGAGAGTGGCCGAAAGGGACGAATACGGAGGGACAAAATCGCGCTGCGGGCGGCGAACCTTCACCTTGTGCAGGGATTCCGGCATTGCTCTGTCGCGGCGCGAAAATACCGGATCGGACTGGTAACAATCATTGACTCCAGATTGTGCAAAAAATGATCAATTTTATTTTAGATATAGTTTCTGAGTTTACTTTAACTTTAGTAGAGGAAACGATTATACCTATTATTTTAATTAATAGTTAATTTAATTTCTAAAACTCATACTATAAGTAATTTATTTACTATTGAATATATTTCTATCAGTCATTATTTTAATACTGTTTTTTAATAAAATGGTGAACTTAGGAAACCATTAATTTTTTTAATTTAAAATGTAAGTCACATTAATTAATAAAACAATTCTTGATTGAATTAATTTATTTAATAAGTAGATATTTTAAACATGATTTTATTTGAAATCTAAAAGTTTATTTATTTTAACTTTTAAAGGTAATTATTTTAACATTTTTATCTATTAATACATTTCTAGATGGATTTCAAGATAAATGCAGAGGAACTCCTCCAGGTGTCGGGACAAATAGAGATTTTCCATGTACTTCGGTGCTCAATTCTTATGCACCATTCCGCGCTCAGAATGTGTTCATATTATTTTTACGTTTTAAAGATTATGCAACCTGTTCGGACCCCAGACAAGGTATAAACTAAAATCCATGTCCAATCTTCAAATATTAAAGTAAAATATACAACTCACAGAATCGGAAAATGATAATTTACGTCTTAGGAAGATAGGTATACAAGTTTTTATACTTAATTAGTATTTGCTAAATGTCCAAAAATTTAAAAGGCGCACCTAATTTGCATAATTTATACATAATTAAGAATTCGAATGGACCGCTAGACAAGGCGCGAATGCAAGCATTTTGAAATCGAAATTTTACGTGGAACACAACTTCCCTGACGAAAATTATTGAACGTAACTCTTTAGTAAGATATTGTACGCACTTCGATGCGTTAATGTATAATTCTCTCGCTGCTGTAAAACCAAAGTATAATGTGAATATGTCACATATCGATGACCAAAGTGCAAAACCACGTATCATACGCTCGCGATATTTCAAAGTTTCTGCTCCTATTTTATTATTTCGGAGAGAAACAAGTCAAATTTTAAGCTAGGAATCTAAACATTATATTTTGTCGATAAAAACGAAAAATCAAGGAAATTTTCACGAAAATACTGGCTGGTTTTACAAAGAAAAAATACAGCACAACAGGAAGTCTGCAGTGTCGCAAATTCAGATAGAAGGTTTCGCACCTCGGTCATCAATATGGTGATTCTTCGTAGATTGGAAATGTCGCCGATGAATTTTCGGGGCTTCGTGGCAACCGGGATATACGCCGGGAGTCANTGAAAACCGCCCCTTGACGTCAGCGGAACCCCGTTCCCCTCGCACGCAGCCCCCTCATGACCTTGCCCGAAAACCCCTTTTCCCTTTTTCGGAAAGTTCAAAGTCAAGCGTTAAAAGCTCCACAATGGAGATGTTGCATGTGTGAGGGATGTGCAATTTGACTGTTGATTATTATGTAAAAGTTTGCGAGATACACGATGGTGCCACTGGTTTTCTCTGAAATCGACTCCTAAGCTCAAAAAAAGCCCTCAAATTGAGGCCAAAATGGAGGGGATATCCCACGCTATCCTGAGAGTCCACCTCTACATCAAGACAAACTCTCCATGCAAAGATAGGGAGCAAATACATTGACAGGACTGCCACCTTATTTGGGGACTCTAAAACTGAAATCACGGCAACCCTGTCAATGTATTCGCTCCCTATCCTTGCATGGAGAGTTTGTCTTGATGTAGAGGTAGACTCTCAGGATAGCGTGGGATATCCCCTGCATTTTGGCCTCAACTTGAGAGCTTTTTTTGAGCTTGGGAGTTGATTTCAGAGGAAACCAGTGGCACCATCGTGTTTCTCGCGAACTTTTAAATAAGAATCAACAGCCAAATCGCAAATTCCTCACACATGCAACATTTCCATTTAACCTACGTTCAATCGGAAATCTGAAGCCGCACGCCCCGCCGTCGTATTTTAGGCAGAGCGTCGAAAAATCCCGGGAATATAATATAGAATCACGGGGAGCAACATGTGGGTTGAGGTCAATTCTGCCGTGCTAAGGAAGAACGCCGTATGAGCCATCAGACAATGTCAAGTTGCCTTCGATAAAATACGAATTTCTTGGAAAAGTTACGAATATTCTTATTCCAACTTTTCGGACAATATTGTTTGCAGTTTAATCTACAACATCTGAAAATTTCAAGGAAATTCATACATAACTTCCTTTCGAAATATATACTTCATTAGAGGAAATTTTGCAACTCTCGAATGTTCAAACGGTGTTTTTCCTTAGCACGACAAAAATTGCGGTCAAACTCTGAACACCAGCGTTCTCCACGAGGTTCTCTAAATTTTTTAATTTTTTTATTCAATTTTTTTTAAATTTTTTTTTTATTTTTTTTTAAAATTTTTATTTTTTACTACTACTACTTCAAATACTACACGAGTGGTAACTCTTTGCTTTCAGCTGGAGTCCCATCCCCCTTAGGCCTATTACACAACCAGGTCGAGGCAACCGTTGCAAGTACTATGCGCTGTAAAAAATTCTTGCATGCTACTGATGTAAGGTCAAACAGTCTGAACCGGGGGGAGGGGGGAAGTGATTGATTACATTTCAAAGCAGCTGGTACTACCTAGCTTCCTCAATGCCAAAAATCTGTAAGTTTTTGCCCCTTTTTAGTCTTTTTTGTGAATAAAAACAGGGACTAACTCCTCTGGCACAATATAAGTTTTGTAATAGTCAAAAATCTACCACTCTCTCCATCCGACAGGCGCAGCTGTGACCTTAATCCGAAAGCATTTATGAGCTTGAAAGTTGATTTCGGGCATCTTGTGGTGAAATGTCATTTGTGTTCCGCACAAAATTTTGTTCAGGGATGGATAATCAATCCAAAATCCCGAGACTAGATTCCCTGGCTCGATTCCCTGACCTTTGCAAGACGACGTAAACACTGCCGTGCTAAGGAAAAACGCTGTATGAACCTTCAGACGTTGCCAAATTTCCTTCGAAAAATCACCAATTTTCGGGAAAATTCGTAAGGATTTTTCCTCCAATTTTTCCGATAATTTTGTTCTCAATTTCACCTATAGTTCCTGAAAATTTCAAGGAGAAATATTCATAATTTTCTTCAAAAATGACTATTTTCCGAGAAGAAATTTGGCAACTCTCTGTGAAGTGCTAAACGCTTTTATGGGGCTAATTTCACTTCGCATTCACAACACTCGGGGTTTTTGAGCGCTAAATAAACTCCGGCACCAAATTTCTTTCCTCACGTCTTAACAGTGTTATTCGGTGTAACTTCCTCGTGTTTATAGATAAAATAATAATTTTCTAAGAGCATCGCTACGGTATTTTCTAGGTGGATAACCCGATGTTGAGGTAAAAATAATCTAATTTACGAAAGTTAGTCCGAACTTCGAAGTGTATTTTTGCAAAGTCAAGGGTTCGCTCGTTATTATTCTTGGCTCTAGCGGTCTCTCCATTCTGAGAGCGTGCTGAGCTTCTGTTGGTGAATGAGGGAATTATAGCTTTCAGGAGAAGGAGTTGCGCTTTTCTTGACTACAGTAGTGGCCGACTCACTCCCCTTTCCGTGCCACCCCCGTCACTCCGCCTTTGCACCACCCTTCGCTGCTCTACTCTCACCGTTTTCCGTATAATCAAACCGGGATGGGGTTGTAACCTATGCCAAGTTCTTAACGTGCCGGACTAACACCATGACTCCTTCCACCTAGTTCGCAGAACGACACGGGTATTGGAAAGTATTTTTTAGCCTTAAACTTTTACGTGGCGAAAATTCTTAAACAAATTTTTAAACGTGTTGATCATAATTCTTCGAAAACCGCAGAACACAAAATGAAAATTTTCTTTTTTCAATTTGGGTTGAATGATAACACAGTCAAAGTCTCAAGATTTTTCCGTGATAATATGTAAAGTATGTAGCAAATATCATCCCTACCAGAAAAAAACGGGGCTGGTTATTCATTTGACTTCATTGAACGGCACAGTTTTTAATGATCATAATGACACTACAAAATTATGAGACGTAACTGCGCCAAAAATTTCGCTCTCTCTTTCCTTTTTTCATTATCATCTGTAGTTTAGTACATCGCTCACAAAACTTTACTGATGATATGAGCTTTTAACTTCCTTGTTGCGAAGCACCACAAACAAATGAGTAGGTATGTTGCATAATTTTACATTAGATATTCATTTTTTTGTGGTCGTACGTAGAATTTTCAAAACAAAACAAAAAACTTTTTTCCTGAGTGTTAATCCACTAATGAGGAAAGGGATGTACGAAATAGCTCAGAAGGAAGTACAGTATAGACGTAATACTCCAAATGAGCATTCTTATTTTTCCAAAATGTTCTCTTCATGCATTCCGAATACCTTAGATGTATGTTGAAAAAAAAAACCTATTAAAGATTAGCTTGCACTGGATTGAATTTTTAAAACTTGTACATTTCAATTGAACCCTCTCCATTACCAGATCACCGCGCACGGTTCTTTATATCTATTCTTGCAGGAAGTCCAAATTGTATCTTGGATGATTCCAAAAAATAGTATTAACGCCAAAATTCCTAATTAAAACAGTTTTAAGCAAAATTAAAATGGGTCTCCAGACACGTTTTGTACTAGAATACAACGCCACATGTTTTCCCTTCAAAATCCCACGAATTTGAAAATATTCTTAAAATAGGTATTTTGAACATAGATTAAACCAAAGCTAGATCATACAAATGACGGCATGAGCATTTTTGCCATTCAACCGATGTTAGTTGTAAACTCTCATATCTTGCCGAAAAGTTAATTTTCAAAAGTCCTGTAGTGTCATTTGTTTTGTTTAACTTTTTTTTTTTTAAGTCCCACCCTATCGGGTGGTCCATTCCGTTAAAGA